CGCTTCGATAAAATTGCCGAGATGTAGTGAAATGCGGGACGGTCAAGAAACGTTCACTGCCACCACACCCCCCCTCCCACAGCCATTCCCTGGCCTGTCAGATTTAATTTCCAGTATAGGTTCTTGCTTCTGGTATGTACAGCCCCAATTGCATTTGCCTGTCACACGTGCTCACAATTCTTCCGTCGTGTTTGTCCCGTCCTGTTCTTTTAGCCGGAAGAAGCATCGCGTCTTCTCCAATTGGCACTAATCCGCATAGATAAACTCAATTTCTGTTGCAATGATTTGATGCAGGTATTGCGAGCGCAGGAATCAATACCTTTTAATCGTATATAACGTGCCTCGTGGGGGCCTATATAGTCCGCATTGAAATTACAGAAATGGTTATCGGCCATGGTCGATCCACTGCTGAATGAAAGCCTTAGCAGGTAGGCGCGCCATCTCTCGAGGTGATGTAACGGCCGGTCTGTCTTGCCTCTTTCTACACGTGAGCTCATGTTTCAGCGTGTTGCATGATCACGGCATGGTCACACGAATACTTTGCATAACTGTAACGGATCATTCGGTGAAATGTATTGAAATGTAGAAAATTATATTCTTTGCTCCATCTCCGCATTGTACGAATCCCCCTCCCTCCCCGGTGGCCTGTCCCCTCCTTGGGCTGATTTTGTTTTTTTATTCACGACTCCCTGGTAACTAACCTTCCGTACGCTGCTTTGTCTATTTTGTTCCCGCGGTATTTCTCGTGCCGAAATTCAGTGTAAGCGTGGTTTGCCATTTTCAGCGTCTCGAGATGCAACCCGCGCAGATCATGCCATGTGACTGGCGCTGTCGAGTCAGGCCCGTTGTCATTACGATTGAATCGGCTTCGTATTCGTGTACATTTATGGTTTAATGACAAGATTGTCAAAGGTGGCGGTGGCGGCTTGGAGATGCCTTCGTGCAGCAGTGGATTGACCAAGGCCGATGACGACGATGATGGTGGTGATGATGAGATTGTGGCGAACGCAGTGACTGCTTGTGCCCGCCGTGGGTTACGTAAAACGATTTCGTTAAACGTGCGGTTAAACGGGGGGGGAGGGGAAGCGGGAAAGGGAAGGGAGGGTGACGAACATGGCCCAGATAAAACACAAGCAACGATCGTGTTGCACGTGCAGGTCAGGTTATAAAACTGTTACTGTTCACTCCGCGTAAAAAAAAAAACGGGTGCCATCTGTTTTTATTGTTTCTCGAGTTGTCGGTCACAGTGCCACGGTCACAGTGTCACGGGTGAGGTGCAGCTAAATATAGAGCGCAATCGCGCCCTTTAAAGAGGGTGCGAATTAGTGCGGCATATCGTACCCTACTTTGTATTCCTAATCCGCGACCCAGATAAATCCATCAGTGGAAAACCTGCAGTCTCTCATTGTATTTGCGAACGCAAAGTAACGGTCTCTCGCGCCGCGTGATTTTATTTGTGGAAGACGAGCCCGAGAACAGATTCGCGTCGACGAATTTGATGCACTGCTGTACGCTTAATAACGGTTCATAAAAAAATAACAATGCAACTTGTAAAGGGGGCGCGCACTATTTTACGGACGTGAATCACCGTGACTTTTGAGGCACGGGGCCAAGCTCTGTGTCGGTAGCGAATGCCAGGCGAAAGAGGTGTGTGGGTGCCTTTAAGTGCCTCTTTAAAGTAGCGGGGGAAGATTGATGGCCCCTGCGAATGTGCGGCCAGGATGGCAGCATTCTCGGCGGCTGCGGCTGCCACAGAGCAACGACGCCTGGCTGCGACGGTGTGAGCGCTGGGTACAGAGAGGAGGAATTTGGAGTCGCGCCACGGACAGTTCTGCCGTGAGCTGTTAGTGTACGGTGACAGAATGATACGGTTACGACACGCCACTGTAAGCTTATCACCGCTGACGTGTAAATTGTGTCGGCGTAACGCATCGCCGCGCACTGTTAACGCTTTCAATTTCATGTCGCATGAAGTGTAAAACGCCAATAACAATGTACAGCTCTTTCATCAATCCACTGCTGATTGAAGGCCTCCCCACTCTGTGGCGGTCTTGGGGGTTGTGTGACCATACTTCACCAAGCTTCTCAGCGGGGGTTTGTAAAGGGCTGAGGATGGAAGCCCAGGATCGGTTCAGATTTGGCATGGTGGCGAGATGTTAAATACCTCTGCTGGTATACAGGAAGTTGTGGGCTCGATCCTAACACTGACACTTGCTGTACATTTCGAGTTTTCATATTCTCCCCGTGGTCGCGTGGATTTTTCTCCTGGTCGTCCGGTTTTTCCCCACATTTAGAATTAACGTCACGCATTTAGAGTACAGAAAAACCTTGGATTGCGAGTAACTTGGTCTGCAAGTGTTTTGCAAGACGAGCAAAAATTTTAAATAAATATTAACTTGATAAACGAGCGAGGGTCTTGCAATATGAGTAGTACGTATACGCTTTGTCTGCCGAGCGTCACGTGATCACAACTGATATACGAGTGCTTTGATATACGAGTGCTTTGGATTACAAACACGTTTCCGGAACGAATTATGCTCGCAATCCAAGGTTTTACTGTATTTGGCTGCTATAAATTTCCACGTGATAAGCCACTTCGTTGAGCTATCATTTACGGCCAGGTCGCTTCTGAAAAAAGAGCTACGTAGCTCAGTGGGGCCTTACCTGGCACAATGAAAATAGTTTAGTTCGTAGTTTTAAATCGTTTAGATTTCACTTGCCACCGTGAGCTGGGGCCCCGTGTCCAACTCAGGCCTCGGGATTCACAGCGCGGTGCACGAAAGGCATTCCCCGCCGTGCCGCCCAGTGTTTACTGTAGGTCACATACCATGATTGATGCTAGGTTAGCTGCTGGTGTGAAACTTCAGCACTGCCGCAGTCCTGGAGAATCTCTGGGGACACATCAAGCTGGGGGGAGGCGGGGGCAGATATCACGGTCATTACATCTCCGAAAAGCGTTTTTTACGCCAGCAATTACCAATTAAATGAATTCTCTATCTGATTAATCATTTCCTAGCTCAATTGCCCATGACGGCTTCCCCTTGGGGGGCGGGGGCAGCGGGTAGTGAGCGGCAGAGGGCGACGGGTGAGAGCGAGCCATACCAACACTGGGTTTCCATGAAGGATCGGGAGAAATATCACGACTTGTTGCGGAAGTTCTGCAACTTTTCGTTTTTGCCCCAAAAAAATGCAATAGTTTTTTTTTTCTCCCGTAAGTTACGCATCGCGTTTACAGCGGAGTTGCGATTAGAGCTGCCTGACTGGATGGCAATTGACCCGGGAGCGTATTTCTCCTTACGCACCCATTCCTAAAATGCATTTAAGTACATAAATAAACCTCGCATAATCTGCTCGTGCGGGAAGTATACATTTTCATCCAGCCTGACGATGATTGTTTCACCGAAATAAACAGGGCATGTTGAGTTTTTTTTGTTATTTAAAGTGATTTAAAATTTGGTAATTCGGTATTGGTGAGGCTTTCCTTGATGAGTGACTAAACGTACGGCACGTCCGGCTGTAAAGTTTAACCACGCGAGGCTAACGCGGTGCCGTCTCGTGACCCTGCCGTTGTATTTGTTACGCACGCGTCATCAATCAACCCCTCCACGGCAATTCTATTGTCGCGATCCAACTCAAGAATAAACATCAACATTTGTATCACCTCGGGTTTTTTTGTGTTTGTAAAAAAAAAATTGTGTTGATATTTATTCTATTGATAACGTCGCAATATGATTTGCGCCAAACAAAAAAAAAGATAAATAATTGAGTCTTACACCACGATTCAACGAATGCATCCATGAATAAACATTTTTATCGACATTGAAGCATCGTTTCACATCCAGTATTTGACCCTAACCAGAGCTTGCTTTCAGTTGGGTATACCTGCGTTGGTGACGCAGAAACTATTTCCTCGCCCAGCACGCCACATCCAGGATTGTTCTCGGCATGGCTGTGGCGACTAGTTTTACACCCTGCTTCAGTCTACCCGTGACCCCGGAAAATATCCAGTAGTGGGAAATGAATGGAAAAACAATTGGCATTTTTTGACGGCGCTTGCTTAAAAGCGCCCCATCAATTCAAAGCGCTCGAACGTCGTCGCATCTCATCTCGACCGTTGCTATGCCCTTTTGCAGTTCAGCGAAGGGGATGCTGAGTGGCAGCTGTCCCTGTACGACGCGGGTTATACGCACCACCGGCCTGCAAACGAACGCATTGGCGGTACAATGGTGTTGCGGTATAAAATAAATAAATACGACTTCGCAATAGATATTTCTTATCCACCGCGATACGCAACCCCGGTGGTGCATGGATATCGTTTCTCGTGATGTCGAAGTGGTCGTAAGACGAACGGTTATATTGAGCGGCTGAACACGAAGCTTCACATTCTGCTCTATTTTATTTCGGATTTTTTTAGCGCCCCTTTTCCATGGCGCTTTAAGATGCAATCTGACGGCGTTCAGTGAGGAAGGTGATGGAATGGATGGAGGGACAGGGGTTGGGATTGGAGCTGATGTTGTTGCTGGGGTAGGTAAGGCAGAGTAAGGTGGAATGTGATGGTGAGTGAGGGTGTCTGATGGGTGCAACGTGGATGAGAGGCAGTGGGGTATGGGGCACATGCGTGAAGTGGTGAAATGGGCATGGATGAGGATAGGTGGAGGGTGGTAGGAGCAGAAGATCTGGTGGCCGGACAGTTGAGCCGATGGAGGATCACAGTGTAGCAGCACCCAGCCTGATGACGATTGACTGGCTCCGTGTTCCAAAAGCAGATTTGATTCCTCGTGCCCTAGATTTGGCCGCGTGTTTCCCCCCCCCCCCACCCCAATTATTCTGTGAGAACGATGCAAATCTGTTTGGGTGTCACTGAGAGCCCGACAGGCAACGGAGCGTTTGGCAGGCAAGGAGAAAGCTCTCGAGTTCAAACCCTGGTCACGGTGCTCACGCCTCACTCTTACCCTCTGTCCTCCACACCCCCCTCCCCCACACCCCCCCTAATTCCCCAGCTCGGCCTTGGACAGGCACCGCGCCATGAAGGTTGCGGTGAAGAAGCTGTCGCGCCCGTTCCAGTCGCTGATCCACGCCAAGCGGGCGTACCGTGAGCTGCGGCTTCTCAAGCACATGAACCACGAGAATGTGAGTGTGCTGTCGCAGGTTCCCTCTCGCCCGCCCCCCGCCTCTCTCCTCCTCGTATCATCGCCAGCGCTCGCCAGTTTTACTAAGTTAGGGTAGAACCGCATCGAATCGGAAATCGTCAGGATATGAAGCTCTTTTTTTTTTTAGGTGTCCAGTAGGGCACGGGGTCAGAACGTTACAACGACAAACGGCACAAAAAATACGATAGTAGTGCAAAGTATAGTAAAGGTAAAGAAATCGCTTTAAAAAAAAATGTATACAAATAAAGCTAAACTATTTTTTTATCTTACTAGGTCAAGCCCACTGAGACAGTTGCTTTTTTTTTACAGAAGCAACTTAGGCCACAAAAAGTTAGCTCAACGATGCGGCTCATCACCACGTGGAAATTTCTAGCAGCAAAATGATCTAAATTATAATCTAAGCGCACGTTTCTAAATGTCGAGGGACAAATACCGGAAGACCCGGGTGAAGAGAGACGCACACTCCAAATCAGTTCATCGTGGCGTTTGTGCGACAGTTCCTGATGATGCAACACAAAGGAAACGCAAAGATAGTGTAGCTTGCTAACACGGCCCTGGCTATGTGCCCGAGGGAGCTGTCGCACACACACCTCTTGAGGCTTTATTAATAACAATACGGACTTAAACATTACGGTCAAGTGCGTCATTAATTCAATACGCAGATGTCACCGCGATGCTACTCCCGATGCGTTCTAATTTAGTTTGCACGCTGGAACTGTGTTCACCTTTTGCAATATTTAGTCAAACCCAGGACTGCCTTGAAACAAAAAAAAAAACTGACTAAATAGTCAAACGACAGAACCGATGATAATAGGCGATCGCTTACTTAGATATGAGACGAGCCAAACTCTGCTCGCAACGACGATCCCTGGTTTCCCAGTTCGTAGTGCGGTGCGCGCTAACCACGGCGGCACGTCTCCGCCCCGTGGCTTCTTAGGCATTACAAAAAGCTTCATCTGTCCGTACCATCAAGGTAGTAATGTCACAAGAGCGGCCGTATTGAGTTTCCCAATCACGATTAATCGGATTATGGTAATGCCGCACATTGGCAGTGGTGGACACGTGCAAAGTATGGTCGACTCGATTATCAGCGTGCGGTTCATCCGATTTGCGGATGAACCCCGCGCACCTGAGATTTTGACATGAATCATGGATTTTCCATTAAGCCCAAATTAATAATCTAAAAACAGTTATGCATTGTTATTCTTGGACATGTTTATTACAAGTCACGTGCTTAACAAATATGTGCTCCGTTTAATCCGAAATCCACGTGATTGCCTCTGCAGTACAGCCGCTGCATATCTTTACAACAGTGGGTGGCGGAGTTGGATTGATGTTGATTGGCGTGGCTCTGCTGTCATCCACTTAGTGGGCCGAATCTTCTGCGCGGGAGCAGGAAAGTGTTATTGTCACCGAGCATGCGCATCGTTCGGTCGAGTCATTAGTATTTTACCTATATTAGTGGTTTTTGGAATAGAGATCCACAGAAAATGGTTATTTTTTTGGATTATCCGCGGCTATCCTCCCCATCATTAGCACGGATAATCGAGAGTTTACCGGAACAAAAAACGCAACACACTCTTCGATAACACTGATCTTAAAAGGACACACACACACACAATACTCCTTCACAGCACACAGAGAGAGACTGGCCACTCTGTGACTGTTACCTCTCTGGCCTCTCTCCGAGCCATTGGCCCCGAAACGTCACGAAATATATATTTTCTTTTAAAAGCCACAGCGTTCCTGACTTGTGATCACTTTATTTCTATAAAACCTTCAGACTTTCGTCAAACAGCTGTTCCAACACACAGGCTCCGCACGAGTCTTTTTCAACTCGCTCATGGCCGTTAACTATGAAAAATACAAAATAGGGTTTAACCCCTTTCTGGCAATTAAACAGGAAGTGTTACGGTGTTCAAACACGAAAGAGAACCCTTTTGCAAGGAATCATGTCTGCATTAACCGTACGTGCTTGTGGTAAGCGCGCAAACAAACATGCTCTGATAATATGTTATTGTCTTTGAAACTGATTGGCCTACACAAGAGACAGCCTTCTTTAGGGCCTAGTCTCACCGGTTTCAGACCAGAGAACAACTCCAAAAGGGGAACGACACGAAGACAATGCCACTATCGGAGCATTTAAAGCTCGGGGTGAGTAGCGACAACATGGGACCTTTTTTCCCAGCATCAAAGTATGAAAGTATAAGAATAGGTTTGACCCTTTTTGGCAATGCAACGGTTGTGTTAAGATGTTCAAACACCAAACAGAAACGTTTTGCAAGGAATCATTTCTGCACTCGCCACACGTACTCGTGTTGAACATGCAAACAAACGTGGCCGTTAAGACCGCGACCCCCAATAAATTGGGGTTTAACGCAAATCGACATCGAGTCCCGCACACTTTGTGCTGGTGACGTGGCCCGGCGCTGGTGCTTTCGCCGCTCGTCGCAGAGGTTCGTAAGCAAACACAAAAGATAAAGGGGTCCCCGTGCAGCCTTTAACGAACTGTTGGGGGGCAGTGCTGTTTCCGCTTGTTGCAGAGGTCTGCAAGCCAGTCCTGGTGTGTACTCGGGCATGTGTTAACCGTACAAATCCGCTCTGGCTGTTTCACAGTGGACGTTAAAAGGTCGCCCGACGTTATTGGAGCCGGGGTAGGCCCTTTTTGCGAAGTCCAAATTTTTACGAGCTCGGAAACATTCTCCCAAAAATCGCTCGATTGGGGGCCGCACTTGGCAGCACTTGCTCCCTGCCGGCGGACCGCACGCGTCCGTGAAATACGGCGCCTTCGCGATCGCCCCGCGCTGCGAGAACGGTCGCTGCGAATACAAAATGTGCTCAATTTTCTCGTAATTACCCGTGTGTACGTGCACGCACCCGCTGCCCCCCAAACACTCCCCACCACATTGACTCACCGCGATTTGAGTTTACGCACCTCCGTTGCCAATCCCAGCCCTGGGAGTGGGGGGGGGGCGGGTGCGGGGCGGGAACGAAGGCACCCAGGAGCGTGGGTCTGACGCCGGTGCGTGCGCATGGGCTGGCCCAAAACACCTTCTTGGTTCTTTCGGTAAAGTCACGTAGAAGGGGAAATAATAAAATGATAAAAAAATAATAAAACATAATAAAATAAAATTCTCACGACGTTGTCTTTTCGACAGTTCTGTTTCTTCACCTGAGGACGGCCACTTGTGTCGTGGCCGAAACGTCGTGAGAATTGTATTTTTATTATTTTATTATTATTTTCTTGTTTCCCTTCTACGTGACTTTACCGAAAGAACCAAGGAGATGAATCCCTGCAGTCACGAAAGCTTTAAATCGAAATGGCCCAAAACTGTTTTTGCCGTCTACACTAGAGCGTGACGCTCCCGTCGTTCCAATGCGGGTGACAGAGGAGGCTGTGTCTGTGCACGTCTGTGCTTGCCCCCTCTCCGTGCAGGTAATTGGGCTGCTGGATGTCTTCACACCTGACAAGTCTCTGGGTGTATTCAACGACATGTGAGTTCCTTGCCGTGTGTGCGCGTGTGCGCACACGCATGCACCGCACGTGCTTGTGTGTGCACGCGTATACTAACATTAAAAAGACCGATTCAGATAATGGTCACCGGCCTTGGCCGTCGTCGGAAATCGAGCTCGGGCCTCCGGGTTCATAGCGCAGCGCGCGGACCGCCACTACTCTACCGCTCCCCACTCTGGTCACAACAACAAAGACAAAGATCCCCCGTGTAGCCTTTAACAGACTGTTGGGGCAGGTGCTGTTAGCGGGGCAATCTGTCGAGGCCAGCACAACACGTCAAAGGTGTGGGTGGCCAGCGCCACACCTGTCCGCATGCGTCATCTCCCCAGTGCCAATATTTACACACCACACCACCCAGTAACTCTTTTAAGGCCAAGTCGGCCTCGGTGAGGGCCCAGGACCGGGTTCAGATATTCGTCAGCATTGCTGGCTTCAAATAGGGGTCGCTGGATTCATAGCGTAATGCTCTAACCACTGCGCCACCTCTCCGCACGCACGTACATGCGTATCCGTACGCGCTGAGAGTGTCAGGTTTTAGGTACTTGTGATTCGATGAGTTGTCACGAGTCAGGATATCTAAACGTGCATTGAGATTGTTTAGATGATTTTGCTGCTGTGAATGTCCAAATGATGGCCCACTTTGTTGAGCTATCATTTGTGGCCAGGTTGCTTCTGACAAAATAAGTTAACTCTTATTTTGATAGTGTTTGGGTGATTTGTTTACCTTTCTCATACTGTTTGTTGTTGTAACGTTCTTACCTCGTGCCTCTACTGGATATCTGTGAGAACATTTTTTTTTATAGCTCATCGGATTTCTCCAGTGTCAATAAATATTCTGATTCAAGAGTCGGTTATTTTTGTTATTGTTTCGTATCGCTCATGTGGATCGACTAGCCGCATCGGTTCCATCTAGTTTGGACAACTATCCCTCGATTTACGAACGTTCCATTTAGGAAATTTTGCCTTAACGCGATTGACAAATGACGGACGCTTTTCGATAGGCGACAAATCTAATTTCCGCGTGAGCGAAAAATTTCACTCCGGCACACCGCCATGAGATCATCAAACGAGAAACCGCCCGGGAGGATGTGTCATCATTCGTCCACGACATCGTCCACGACATCGTCCATGACATCGTCATGGTTCTCCTGCTGTGCAACGAGTAACACCTTCACATCGCCTCTGCGGTCATTCGAACATGCAGCAGATCTTTTGGCGAGTTCCCTGAAAAGGTCACTTATTTTAGTTTGAAATTATTAATTGTTCAATCGTTTTCATATTCACGTTCTTTTATTATTATTACTGCTACTATTTTTTGATGTCGTCAGTAGTGATAAAGGCGTTTTACCTTTAGGGTATGGAGTAGAGTTGGAATTACTGTCCGAAACGAGTCTCTAATTTTACGGATAAAATTAATGGAAAAATCCAATTCCGACTTACGAAATGGCTATGCGCGTGTGTTTTTTGAACAACACGCATCCCTTTCGTACAATCGAGGGATACCCGCGTCGCACATGTGTACAACGAACGGCCGTTTTGTCAATCCGTGCTGTGTGGATTTCTGTGCTTAGTTACGCCGTGTTATTTAATTTTACCAGCTAAGGCCCCACTGAGCCATGTAGCTTCTTTTTCAGAAGCCACCTGGCCACAGATGACAGCTCAGCGATGTGGCTTATCGGCATCGCGTGGAAATTGATAGCAGCAGCCAAATGCTCTCAAACGCTCTCAGACGTTGATTCTAAATGTGGAGGGTCGAAAAACCGGAGGACCCGGAGAAAAATACACGTGACCACGGGGAGAACATGCAAAATGGCAAACTGATCGGTGTAACTTGGTGAAGGTACAGACCATAGATGAGGGAGTATAGAAGTAAGTGCAGCAATGGATTTTGCTTCACTGCCCTCTCCTGCCAACAACTTAAGCCCTGCTTGTCCTGTCTGTTATGCATGCCGCTCATCCAAGAACCATCCCAGGCCCAAGCTAATTCGCTTTTCTGATATCTAACAAGATGGGGCGCATTCTGGGCGATTGGGTCATTCGCCACATTTTGTCTCCCGTCTGTCTGATTTGTTTGAGCTTATTTAGTTTGTTCGCCTAAGGGGTAACGTTTGCAGAAAATGTGAATAATAGCTTATGCCGCGCATGACTCAATGCCTACATCATGAGAATAAGAATCTATGGACAATATAATAATAATAATAATAATAGGGTTTTCCTCCTTTTTTCTGGCAACAGAACTGAAACTTTTTACAAGGAATCATGTGGTGCATTAACCACAATACTTGCGGTCAAAATGCAAACACAAAACACACTCTGATAAAATATGCATTGTCCTTTAAAGGTTTCAGTTTTGTTGCCAGAAAAAAGGGGAAAAACCCTATTATTATATTTTGGTACTGGTAAAGGAGGTCTAATGATAACAGTTACATGTCAAGACCAAAAAAAATGCAAGACAAAGATCCCCCGTGTAGCCTAAAAAGACTATTGGGGCAAGTGCTGTTAGCGAGCAGCACCTATGAAGGCCGGCACGGCATACCAGGGGGTTGGTGGCCAGCACCACGCCCTGCCGCCTTAATCTCCCCAGTGGCGATGTTTACTACACACCGCACCAGGTACTCACTTGAGGCTGAGTCCACCTAGGGGAGGCCTAGGACTGGTTCAGATAATCATCACCAGTGTTGGCCGTGAACAGGGAATCGAACCCGAAGCCGCCAGGTTCGTAGTGCAGTGCGCTAACCGCTACACTGTCGCTTCCCAAAACCACACACATGCATACACGCATTGTGCGTGGCGGTTTCCCCTCTAGAGTCGCTCGACAACGCTCGATAACGCTCGTGTTGTCGTCCCAGGTACCTGGTGACGCACCTGATGGGCGCCGACCTGAACAACATCGTCAAGTGCCAGAAGCTGACCGACGACCACGTGCAGTTCCTCGTCTACCAGACCCTTCGCGGCCTGAAGGTGAGCGGCGTCCTTACCCAGGGCGGGGGGGGGGGGGGGCGGTCGTGCCCAGGTGCGCGACCTTGCCCCTGGGGGATCAACCCTGCCCAGGAGAGAGCAGTTGTGTTCATGGGTGCATCCCTGCCCAGGGTGAGTGCCATATTTGGAAGCCGTGTCCCGGGGATGGTGGCCATGCCCCGGCAGGCAGCCGTGCCCAGTGGGGGGTGATCGTGTCCGGGTGGGCAGTCCTGCCTGGGGTGAGTGGCGTCCTTCTCAATGTGGGGGTGGCCGTGCCCTGGGAGGCAGCCGTGCTCAGTTGGGGGGTGGCCGTGCCCATGAAAGGGGGGGGGGTGGGGGTGTTGGCTCTGCACCGGGTGATGGTCCTGCCCAGTGGGGTGGCACTGCACACTTGGCAAGATGACAAATTCGCCACGCGCCCGCACACTGCGCACGTAAGCCGTGACAGTCGACTGTCAAAATGATGAAACCGCGAGAAATGTTGTCAATAGCATGCCCTCAAAAGTTGATTTTCTTTGTGCTGATGCACCACCGCCAGCGCAGCATCACAAACAAAACGAACTGAGTACTCTGTTTTTGCTTCGATTCATACAGTTGGGCATAAATCATTCCCACACATGAAGCTGAAAACGTGTGTTGACCCAGACCCGATGTTCCCATGGGTTAGGGGATATCATGACTCCCTATCATCATCACCACCACCACCACCACCATCATCATCATCGCTTTTTGTTACCGCGTCACGCAGTGATTTTCCGGTGGATGTCGGGCTTTCTGCCGATGTAATCGATTGTAAACAAATAATAATTGGTATCTTTTTACCTCGAAACGATTTTATCGACTGACCGTTCCAGCGGCACCACGCGCAACGCTCGCCATCACCGCTCTGGAGGAAGGGAACTTAAATAAGATTACGGTGGATCGGTGCAGCGTCTGTGAAAGCGGCGTCAGAAGGCGTGAAGAGCCCCTCCTTGCTGCCGCTACTCGGAATCTTTATTGATTTATCCTGGAGAAATCCGACGAGCCATGAAGCTCTTTTTCACAGATGTCCAGTAGCCACCTTCCTGGTTGCACTTGTGTGTGTGTGTGTGTTGAACTTCTTTCGCATCGTACGTAGCCATCCGTGCTTATCGGAGGTGCGGGAGGAAGGACAACAAGCAACACAAAAAAACTCTGTTTTATAGAAGTGAGTTTAGAGTCTTGGCTCAAATAACCCCACGCACCGTGTTTGTGTCTCCCTGCAGTACATACACTCGGCCGGAATCATTCACAGGGTGAGTATCACTGCCTCCCTTGCCTACATGTGCCAGCACACTAAACCCTGCACGGCGTACAAAACGGATCTATCCATAATAGAGGTTTTGTTGGGTTAGATAGCGTGAAAATAAATGTGTCGTCAAACCCGCCACCACCCGACACTGCCAGTTAGTAAGGTTTGTCACGTAAACAAAAACGTGCCAATTAGTTACTAGTTCAGCGCATCCGGTGTGTTGGAGAGTAAGACCCACAACATTTACATATCGAGTGTAAGGTTTCGCCAGTAATTACAACGGGCATCATTAGGCGACAGCGAGAAGCAATGAGCGTCCGCCAACCCCGCAGCAGGGACTATGAGAAGGTGCAGCCAAAACACGCGTGGGTAACGTTCAGTTGTCGGAACTTGACGAGTCGTTCTGTAGTGTCGCCTTCCAGAGGCAGTTCTCCAGTGCGCGGGGGTGAGTTCCGGAATGGAAGTTTACTAAATCCAAGGAGTGTAATATTAATGGGGGTAAAGGATAAAAGGTGCAGGCCTTTCAATTGCCTGCTCATGCCACTGCAAGTGGGAGCCCGAAAGAGCCTCTCCTAGAGCAGTGTTTTTCAAACTTTTCTCAGCTCCGTAGACCACTGTGTAAACTGTAAACTTATTTTTTATTTTACCGGCTAAGGCCCCATTGAGCTTTAGAGGGAGAGAACTCTTTTTTTCAGAAGCAATCTGGTTTTCATAAATGATAGCTCAACGAATTGGCTTCTGATCGTCGCTTAGCAGCCAAATAACTCGATGAGCACGTGACGTTGATTCTCAATGTGGAGGCAAAAAAACCGGAGGGACCTGAGAAAAATTGACGCTACTACACGGAGAGAGAGAGAGAGAGACATGCACCCTCCAAATATACACGTGTTAGGGTTGGGGTTGAACCCACGTGGGAATGATGCCCCACGCTTCTAAGTGGACAGGGGGGAAAAGTACGAAACGTAAAAAATATACACGCAACATCGCCGGGGATGGGAGGAACCTTATGAGGACTTTGCCCGGTGTTCGCTGTGGGTCTCCGGGAGCAGCGCTGGCAGTGGATGGCGTGACCCGTGCGGTATTCCACCCCTCCCCACCCCCCAAGGATCTGAAGCCCAGCAACCTGGCCGTGAATGAAGACTGTGAGCTCAAGGTTAGTGGCTCTCGCAACAACAGCACCCCCGACGAAGACAGATGTCATGCACTTCATATATACACACAGTAGACTCTCCATTATCTGCGCCTATGATTGGGAGGACAGCTGCGGATAATAAAAAACCTCGGATAATCCAAACATATACAATTTTCCGCGAATCTCTTTGCCTAAAACAAGACGAGATTTTGTACGTTTGCCCACCGACAAAGAAATGATCAGTCTATAATTTTAATGGGAGGTTTATTTGAACAGTGAGAGACAGGATAACAACAAAAAAATCCAGAAAAACGTAAGTCAAAAATGTTATAAATTGATTGGCCGTTTTAATGAGGGAAATAAGTATTTGACCCCTCTGCAAAACATGACTTAGTACTTGGTGGCAAAACCCTTGTTGGCAATCACAGAGGTAAGACGTTTCTTGTAGTTGGCCACTAGGTTTGCACACATCTCAGGAGGGATTTTGTCCCACTCCTCTTTGCAGTCATTAAGGTTTCGAGGCTGACGTTTGGCAACTCGAACCTTCAGCTCCCTCCACAGATTTTCTATGGGATTAAGGTCTGGAGACTGGCTAGGCCACTCCAGGACCTTAATGTGCTTCTTCTTGAGCCACTCCTTTGTTGCCTTGGCCGTGTGTTTTGGGTCATTGTCATGCTGGAATACCCATCCACGACCCATTTTCAATGCCCTGGCTGAGGGAAGGAGGTTCTCACCCAAGATTTGACGGTACATGGCCCCGTCCATCGTCCCTTTGATGCGGTGAAGTTGTCCTGTCCCCTTAGCAGAAAAAACACCCCCAAAGCATAATGTTTCCACCTCCATGTTTGACGGTGGGGATGGTGTTCTTGGGGTCATAGGCAGCAATCCTCCTCCTCCAAACACGGCGAGTTGAATTGATGCAAACGAGCTCCATTTTGGTCTCATCTGACCACAGCACTTTCACCCAGTTGTCCTCTGAATCATTCAGATGTTCATTGGCAAACTTCAGACGGCATGTATATGTGCTTTCTTGAGCAGGGGGACCTTGCGGGCGCTGCAGGATTTCAGTCCTTCACGGTGTAGTGTGTTACCAATTGTTTTCTTGGTGACTATGGTCCCAGCTGCTTTGAGATCATTGACAAGATCCTCCCGTGATTCCTCACCGTTCTCATGATCATTGCAACTCCATGAGGTGAGATCTTGCATGGAGCCCCAGGCCGAGGGGGATTGACAGTTCTTTTGTGTTTCATCCATTTGCGAATAATCGCACCAACTGTTGTCACCTTCTCACCAAGCTGCTTGGCAATGGTTTTGTAGCCCATTTCAGTCTTGTGTAGGTCTACAATCTTGTCCCTGACATCCTTGGAGAGCTCTTTGGTCTTGGCTATGGTGGAGAGTTTGGAATCTGATTTATTGCTTCTGTGGACAGGTGTCTTTTATACAGGTAACAAGCTGAGATTAGGAGCACTCCCTTTAAGAGTGTGCTCCTAATCTCCGCTCGCTACCTGTATAAAAGACACCTGGGAGCCAGAAATCTTTCTGATTGAGAGGGTGTCAAATACTTATTCCCTCATTAAAATGCAAATCAATTTATAAAAAATTTTACATGCGTTTTTCTGGATTTTGTTGTTATTATTCTGTCTCTCACTTCAAATAAACCTACCATTAAAATTATAGACTGATCATTTCTTTGTCAGTGGGCAAACGTACAAAATCAGCAGGGGATCAAATACTTTTTTTCCCTCACTGTACATTACTACACACTACAATACTATACATTACAGCACTATGCTAAATAGAAAACTAATTTCTTTAGAACTGTTTGTTGTTGTGTTTAGTGTGTTGTACTTCCACCGCCGCACCTCCAGCTAGAGCGGTTGGCCACGTACGGTGTGAAAGAAGTTCTACATACACACATACTTACCAAGTCTCTTCAATAGCAAAAGACAAAGGACCCTCCCCCCCTCCGTCCCCCCAAAGCCTAAACAGACATCAACTTTGATCTCGCTCTAACACATTGATTCGGTGACAACCACCATGCGAACAAGTTGGGTGCGGTGATCAGCTGCCGAGGCTCCGTTGGTTTGGATCTATGGTGGCAAAGTTGATTGGTTTGGGGTGTGGTGGTGGGGTGGAGGTGCAATGTATTGATGTAGAGCTGCAAAATCCGATTGTTTAAATAATCGTTTGGCAGCTCAGTTTGTCGACTGATTGGATGACTCGAAAACAATTGGAGGAAAAAAAATGTCTCACCTGTTTTCTGGCACACCACCCGACAGAAGGTGATGGGGCGAGTCTTGGTGATGTCACCTACATGACCAGCCACGTGACACTAGCTGCAGCTTGCAGGGGGTTTCCCACCTTCGGGAGGCGAGACATGGGGGGGGGGGTGGTGACAGCTGGCTGCGATAATCTAAAGCAGTGGTTCTTAACCTGGGGTGCACGCTGCACCTCCTGGGGGTGCGAGATCCCCTTTCTGGTGGTGCGAGTCGTGACCAGGTTTTTCTTTTTTAAGGTAAATCCTCGAAAACACAAATGAAGCACGGGCACTTCAGTTCCATCCTACTTGGTTTCATCAAACCTACGTATTTATTAAGATTATATATATTTTTTACGATTGAGAAACAAAGAGGGGGGTGGTGTAGGCTGCATTAAAGGTTAAGAACCACACTGCTCTGAAGCAGGGGTGGGGAACTTCCGGCCCGCGGGCAGTGTGAGGCCCGCGAAATAATTTGCTCTCTGGCCCTGCCAAGGCAACCGCACGACTCGAAATTCAATAAATCTAGGCGCTTTTTTCACAGCAACATAAATGTAATTTTGTATGGCCAGCGAATGATGATGTTATAAATATCCAAATGGCCCTTGGCAGAAAAAAGGTTCCCCACCCCTGCTCTAAAGGAAACGGGGGCTCGAGGAAGCCGACCGCGAGGAGAGCAAGCAGGTCGATTGAAACATTTTTTAGTCGGATTTTCACTCTTCAACGTTCTGATCGTGCTCCAGCTCTATAAAGAGCGGTGGCGTCGACGTGACGTGGCCCCCTGGTGACGCTGTCTCCGTATAGATCCTGGACTTTGGGTTGGCGCGGTTGACGGACGAGGAGATGACTGGCTACGTGGCCACCCGCTGGTACCGCGCGCCCGAAATCATGCTCAACTGGATGCACTACAACCAGACCGGTGAGCTACGCGGCGTGCACCGAGTTCACACAGCCGCAGCGTCAGCTTAACACGTAGTAGTAGGAGTAGCAGTAATTTGTCCATAAGAGAGGTCTTTTTTTGGGTTAGGTCGTGTGAATATAAATGTGTCGTTAAAGCCGCCACCACCCGACGCAGGCAATTAGTGAGGTTTGACACGTAAACAAAACGTGCCGATTGGTTCACCAGTTCGGCACACCCCGGTGTGTTGGAGAGGAAACCCACAACATTTACAATTCGAGTACCGTGACATTTCACCGGTAATCACGACTAGCGTCATCAGGCGACAGCGAGAATTGTCTGCAGCACACTGGTGTGCTGAATTCGTAACTTTAATCGGCTGTGTCGAGTGGTGGCGGCTTTAACGACGCATTTATATTTACACGACCTAACCCCCCAAAAAAACTATTTTGGAGCCATAACGTGTGCTGTGTGCAGTGTTCAGCCTGTGCGGTGTGATACGATCCACGTGCAACGCGTGGTGCGTTGTGACCCATATGCTGTGCGGCGGTGTGTCGTGCTGCTCGTGCGGTGTGACCCATACGGCCATGTGGTGTGTTGCGGTGACCATGTGGCACGTGGCGTGACTCATGGTGTGACCCTTGTGTGTTGTGCCTGGTATGACCCGTGCCATTTTCAGTGGACATCTGGTCTGTGGGCTGCATCATGGCTGAACTCCTGACCGGACGGGCACTTTTCCCTGGGACTGACTGTATCCTTCTAAAACCTGCTTCTTTTGAAAGGGGGGGGGGGGGGTGGGGGGAAATTTTAAACGGTGTGCGTGTGTGCAGGTGGCTGGCTGGGTGGCCCCCCCCCGGGGCCTGATCTCATGCCAGAGAGACACCGAGTGGACAATCACTGTGGCTTGGGTGTGAATGTGACTTTCAGCTGCACACGGTTAAACTGGGTCCTCAAGTGTGGTGAGTCGGTGGTCTCGGCCCAATGGATCGTCGAGGGCTATGTAAGAACCACCGTCACTTAAAATTAGTTTTTGTGACATAATTGTCATTAAGTCCGGCTCTGAGGCAATCACGTTTTGGTTCTATTGAAATTTCACCGTCTGCAAGGAATCTAAAACTCGTATCTCCCAAAGTGGCTGTTGAAGTTACTTACGAAGTACTTTTAAAGACATCATCTCCCCGTGCCATTCTCAAATGGAAGTGTCATCATCTTACGATGACGCCGACAGTCTAGTGGGAATGTAATTGTGAGAAATCATCGGCGTTTCAATGCGCGTCACCTCCACTGGAACTCGCTCGTCTCAGTGGCCCAGAAGCTTCCTGATTGCCGGCAGCACAGAAGTCTCGTGGTTCATACGTAAGCCGTGACTTTATTCAGCGTTGTCATTTATTCGCAGTTGCATCACCGTCAACCGCCTTCCACTCGGCGCTTCTCTCGCGAACGTTGCGTGGCCGGACGTCTGAAGGGGCTAGGTCTGGGACTCCCTGCCAGGCGTTTGCAGAACGCTCCCCCATCCAAGCTTAACCGACAATTCCACGTGTTCTGAAACGCCACCCTGCCCCCTCTCTCCACAGGCCACACGGCATTTCTCGCGCGTATCAAACCTTCCCATTGTTTCCCAGCAAGTCACAGAGCAAGGGCACCGTGGTGACAATCTGTCGGTGTTTATTGAAGGCCACGTGTCTCTAAAGCGCATCGCCGTCGTTTCTGATGGGACGTTGCGGGGAACAGATTTGATCTCTTTCCTGGAGAACCTCGGTTTAGTGCACAGAAAGTACTCTGAGGCACCCTGGCGTCAAAAGAGAAATCGTCACCGAGGTTGACGTTTGATGATAGGCGAGAAGAAATTAAGCACCAAATCGGCAGTCTTCGGGGTAAGTATGTTGAAGGTCTTTCGCACCGTACGTAACCCATCACGCTAATCGGGGCTGCGGGAGCAGCACGTTGAATCGTCCGTGACGAGTTGACTTTCCCAAAGGTGCTTGTCTCGCGTTGCGCCCAAAATATTAACGGGGGAACAAAAATGTAACGGGATTTGCTGTGCCTTGTCACCCAAGATTCCTGTGTGAAGGAAAACTAATTTCTGTCTCGCTCCATCGCAGCTGATGGAACTCGAATCCCATCACTTCACCAGAGAGTGAGCACGTCAGCCGATGATGTAACCGTGACTTTACATCGCATCTCGTATCAAACAGCTGAAATGGCATGTCCCAGGTGTCCTTGTAGGACACAGAGTTGCTTCAAAACCTGGCCTGCAAGAGGAAAATTGTCTGCCAGTAGGGGGGGGGGGGGGGGGGGGGGAGGGCAATGTGTATGTGTACGTTTGAACTTCTTTCGCACCGTACGTCGCCAACCGTGCTAATCCGGAGGCGCTTTGTTAATTGGGATTGTCGCTCGTAATGGCGAAGTGATGTTGGCCAAAGTTGAAGCTTCAAACCGGGGTGCCCACGTCCTTGTCGTAGCACGCCGACGTCCTTGCAGAGACACGATCCCACCCCACCACTCGCAAACATAGCCGTGGCTCGTACGGTCGTCGCCAGCGTTGGATTCGTTCTCGGAAGACGAGAGCCAACTTAGCAGGTCGCTGCTATCCAAACGTCCCCAGAGCGATACCGCCTCTGAGATCATGTACGTCATCCAGCGGAATAATCTGAAGAAAAGATACACATTGCACGTGTGCGCCATTACACTACATGTAGACTACAATATTTTAAGTCGTCTCTACATATTGAAGCACCCTGCAGCATTTGGGCTTAAGTAATTGTCTTCCAACAATAATGCAATCGTTTTTTAAAGAAGTTGCTTCATCTTATTCAAGAATTGTTCCAGCACGCGCGTGACTTGCATTCGGCGCTTCTGCTCCTCGAATGATATCGACAAATATTTAAAGAAATGTAATCCCCCGCGTGAGTAACTTTTAACATGGCCCTGAAGCCATCAGGTCCCCCCCGATACTCACGTGTTAGACCGGCCCACTGGGAATTCTCAACACGCATGTCCCTTCGATGTCGTTGGCTATAGAGTGACGCACGAATGTAAATTAGTTGTGATTTTTTTTTTTGTTGCGCTATGCAAGTGTGGCATGCCAAACGAGTCTAACTTGCAGGTGCGCCTGCGTAGGGCGTGGCCGAGACGGTGAATTCACATTTCTCGAAATATGCTTTCGTCATTCACGCTGGGCACAAAGTACAGGTCACGCCGGCGTCTCGGAGCAACCGATGGGCATTATTATTTTTTTGCAAAACAACCCGCAGTTGTCTACATCATTAGACCTCCTTTGCCAGTACCAAAATATAATAATAGGGTTTTTCCCTTTTTTTCTGGCAACAAAACTGAAACCTTTTTACAAGGATTCATGTTACTGCATTCACCACAATACCTGCAGTCAAAATGCAAACAAAAAACATACTATGATAATATATGCATTGTCCTTGAAACTGATTGGCCCACACCAAGGGACGGCTTTCTTTTGAGCCTCGACCCAATTGGTGCTCGACCAGATGACGAGCAGTGGTTCTCAACCGGGGGGGGATACATGGACCCCTGGGGGTACAACATGGCAATGTTCCCAGGGGGGGGGGTACGTACGTGTGGTGATTTATAAATGTGTGAAATTATATCGTACGTGAGAGTCATTGGTGACTAATCCTGTATGAATGGGCCAGTGTAGAATAACTCCCGATGAAATTTAAATCCTTGTGGTAACCTAAAACGACATGAAAGACTTTTGTAAACTCACCGATCGTAAACAAACGTGGGTTACCGAGAGTAACCGGCGAGCGCGAACAAATGACGCCACTCTTGCAGAGTGTCCGTTGAATTAATTTTGATTCGCTTGCAAGTTGCTAGCTCGTTAGGATACCTCACAAAATGGACAAATGGTTAAAATATTGGTGCACAATATTCATACATTTATTTCTCAACCAAGTTGGGTCAGGCAAGGGTTGGTTGAAGCAAATTCAACAAAGGGGTCACAGTGGCCAAAAAAGTTTGAGAACCACATTTTTGGCACAGCAGCCAAAAAAATTTGAGAACCACATTTTTGGCACAGTAGCCAAAAAAGTTTGAGGACCACATTTTTGGCCTACTCTTCATCTTGAAAGAGGTGGAAGTACCCACCCTTTAGCTCACCGCACGTGATCTGCCAACTTACGGACCCATTTATACTTCTGGGTGCAAAGAAGAGGGGATAATTTAAAAAAATGCTCGCCCATTATTTCAACTGTCATGCCAGGACGTCCACCACGTGACCCCCCTGGATTGCAAGTCCACTGCGCTAACCGTGAAACCTCCAGCAGCCTGGAGGTGGAATGATAATAGCCTCCATGCCCGCCAGAATCGTTGCGCGTGCATTCAGCCGAGCGTTTATTCAGGAAAGCCTCACCGAGTCAAGACAGTTTTTTTATGCAATAAGATGTTTTGGCCATTTCTGTGATTTTTGCTATGAGTTGTAGGTAATCGGTGTGTACAAATCCACGATGCTCACTGGGGCATTGTGCTCAAAGCTCCGTGCAGACTTGTGCACGAACCCAGTTGCCATGCTGCCTTCTGGCCAGCTCACACCTCCGCGGGGGTTTTTTGAGAGTTTGGTGAATTTCCACGGGGATCCCTCCCCAACCCTCGTCCGATTGCAGGCCACATGCCGCCGTTCACGCCGTTTGCCTCCCAACGTCTGGCATGTGCGGCGTACATACGTGGCTCTCGTCGTCAGCGCCGGTCACGATCGGTCCGCTGCTGGACGAAGATCTCAAGTCGTCTACCCACTTTCAGGGCGTGAATGTTCTTGTGGTCACCCACGTGCTCCGTTTCCTTGACACAGAGTGACAGACATCGACCAGCTGAAGCTGATTATGCAATTGGTGGGGACACCTGGCCCTGAGCTCATGCAAAAGATTTCCTCGGACTCGGTGAGTGGGAAAATCCTGTGTGTGTGCATGCGTGTGTGTGTGTGGGCATGTGTGTGTGAATCTACTGGTCATGTCAGCCGACCCATGGCACGTGGGTCTTCCGAGACCTGTCAGCGAGCCTTTGACACTTCGCTTGGCCGCAAAGTGCACGTGGTCTGGCACAGGTGCCGTGGTGACTTCACCGTCACTTAGTGGCGAATGGCAGGTGTTGGTATTGGTGGGGGGGGAGGGCGGGGAGCGGTAGTGCAGCGGTTAGCACGCTGCGCTACGAACCCGCTGACCCGAGTTTGATTCCTACTCACGACCAATAAGTGGGCAAAATTTGAACCGGTCCTGGGCCTCCCGTAGGTAGACTCGGCCTCAAGTGCGGTGTGTAAACATCGTCTACTAGGAAGACAAAGGCGGCCGGGCGTGGTGCTGGCCACCGACCCCCTCGCGTGCCGTGGCGGCCTATATAAGTGCCGCTCGCTAACGGCACTTGCCCCAAAAGTCTGCTGAGGTTATACGGTGGGGGGGGCATCTTTGTCTCTTGTTGCGATCGGCCCTGCGGGTAAACTTCACGGGCACTTGACGCACGCCACCGGTTGTCTCGTGAAACCCGACCCGATGGCCGAAACTTTTTAAAAGTGCTCCCATTAGCAGCACACGCCGAGGAGCTGCCAAGAGGGGGGTGGGGGGGGGAGGCAGAAAAAACCAGGTCGAAGTCACTCGACCGGCACGGGAGTCAGAACGTGAATGGGCGACCAGCTGGTGTCAGTGTCGTCTCGACCGATCAAGTTTCAAGTTTGTTCAGTTTAACCCGGCGAGAACCGAGGATAGTCTCAATTTGACCTGGAAAGCCCTGAACATTGGCCACGTGGGTAAAAACCAGGAGTCCTAACCGCTAGGCCATACGGGAGTTAATCGTGTGGTGTATTGACGAAGCTCCCGTGCTCCTCGCAGGCCAGGAATTACATCCAGTCGCTGCCCGTGATGAAGAAACGTGACTTCCGGGACGTGTTTCTCGGGGCGAATCCCAACGGTGAGTTTTCTTTTCTCCCCTATTCACGATGAACAGCTTCGTCAGTTGCAGCTGCCCGATTGGCGTGGAGGCAGTTTTTCGCCGATTTCTGCCTCATGGCTGGTGATATGCAGAGAAACCTCGCCGAACGCGCGTGGTTCTTCGAACGCGCGTGGTTTATGGTTTACGTCGTTTTACTTGATGTGGTCTGTTTTCCGGAACTTGGTGTGGGGGGGGGGGCGGTGATGTTTCGGTCATGCGCGGTTTGACGTCGCTCCGGTGGGCTACGTACGGCGCGTAGGAAGTTCGACATACATTCCTGATTGCTAAGACAGTTGCTAGGTAGGCTTGCGGAGGTGAGAGTGCTGCACCCGTTGGAAAGTACTGCTGTGTGAATTAATCATCTGTGAGAACGGTTTATTTACCATGTATCTTTAGTGTTTTTTTTCGTGTGATAATGTAACGCAACTATACTCAACACCTGTGCACATCGCAAATGTTAAAAAGACAAAGATCTCCCCTACAGCCTTAACATACTACTGGGGCAAATGCTGCTAGCGAGTACCTATGGCACGCACACGAGGGGGTGGGTGGCCAGCACCACGTCCCAACTACCTTTGTCTCTCCAGTGGCGATGTTTTTTATACACCGCACCAGGTACTCAAGGGGAGGCCCATGACCGTTTCAAGTAATCGAACTCGGGTCGGTGGATTAGTGACGCGGCACAGCGCTAACCGCGACGACACTACCGCTCCCCCACAAACGTTCACGCACATTGCTGCACGCATCCAGCCGTCCACCCGTTGAGGACACCAGTCGTACGGAGGCCTAAGAGGCGAATCATTGGCGTTCCAAGTGGCAGCGTTAGGGGCGTGTGGTTGAGTGCTGCGGTGCGGTAAGAGTACTGGAGAGGAGGGGTTTGTGTTGAGGTGAAATTGAAAGTGTGCACACACACACAAGAAATGTGGAGCGACTCTGCATCCTTTATGACAGCGATTATCAGCCGAGAGTACGCGGACCCCTGTGTGTACGTTGGCAATGTCCCAGGGGGGGGGGGGCGGTAACGCGAGGTGATTTATAAACGCGTGAATATATTGTGAATAGTCACGTGTGAATATGCCGATATAAAATAACTACAATAAATTTTAAATCCGTATGGTAACCTAGTACGATATAAAGGATATATAAACTCATTGATCCTAAACATTGTAGGTTTCCAAGGGTAACCAGCTAGTGCGAACAAATTACGTCACGCATTGTAGAGCGTCCGTTGATTTTTATTTTTTTCGCTTGCAGTTACTTTGCTAGTTAGGATACCTCAGGAAATGGACAAATGGTTAAAATATTGATGCTCATTATTCATACGTTTATTTCTCCGAATCATGTTTGGTCAGGCAAGGTGGGAGGTGGAGGGGGGGTACTCGCTTGAAACAAAATTCAACAAGGTTGATAACCACTGATTTGATCACTTCGGACCCAGGAACGCAATCCTATTTTTCCCATGAGGTCGATTATTTGTTGAACTTGGATTCGCTCGACGCAGCATCGTCCAGGAACACGACCCTGCCCCCCTCCCCCCCCCGCGTTCGCCGGGGTTTTCCCGTACCGGTGATTTCACCGTTTCCCCACCAGATTTTTGCAATGACTTTCCCCCACCACACGACTTAAAAGAGCCCATTTCCCCCCGTCCGATTAGCACGGTTGACTACGTACGGTGCGAAAGAAGTTCAACATGCATACATCGTTTTTTTTGTATTTAGCGGTTTGAAGTGCAATGAGTCACCTTTATTTGTCTCTCGGGCATTAAATATTCACGGTATCGTGAATATAATGGTACTAAAGCTGCAAACACTAGACGCAGTTGTACCATTTTCAGCCGATGGATCGACTAACGCGGCTTCCCCTTTGACCTTGCGCCCCCTTCGTTCCTCTTCCCCCCCCCCCCCGCCCACACCCCCAGCGGTGGAGTTGCTGGAGCGCATGCTGGTGCTGGACACAGAGCGGCGCGTGACGGCCAGCCAGGCGCTGGCGCACCCGTACCTGGCGCAATACCACGACCCCGAGGACGAGCCCGAGGCGTCTCCCTTCGACGAGTCGCACGAGAACCGACTGCTCAGCATCGACGAGATCAAACGTGGGGCTCGCACAGCCGCGCGCACGGCCGCCTACACGCCAAAGCCGCCCATGGTTAAACTGGGTCCTCATGTGTAGCGAGTTTGATGGCCACGTGTTGAGTTACTTTGCGCGTGCCCATGATTTCGCTCGCAAAAATCTGATGACATTTTGTTTTTTACTTAATTTTGGTCAAATTTCATCCGCTGGAATGTGAAGTGTCAATTTGAGCGCCGTGCCACAAACATTTCTACGCAGCAAGGCATGTGAGAGAGTGGCGCCCTCCTACTTGGCATGAAGGTTGACACTCGGACATAACCGCCGTATTTCTAGGATGTCTGTTTCCACGGCCCGTTTGTAACACGCAGCGTGATGCGCTGTGCTGTGATAATTATGTTTAGATTTTTTTCTTCCCTTGACTTGGGCCCCATTTGGACTAAACTGTGGGGGAAAAATTGAAAGAGAGCGGAAAATGAATTGTCTCCTGGTGCCTAATGCCCATGATGTCCTCCTTTCCCCCCCCCCCCCCCCCCCCCCCCCCCCCCCCCCGCTGCTTCCGATCCATCGCACCGCAGAGCTGGCCTTTGAAGAGATCGTGAATTACGTTCCGCCAGAGACGGACGACATGGATATGTAAGTGAGCTGGCGCCTTCGAGAGCGGCGAGTTGGAGGAGGAGGAGGAGGAGGTGGTGTTGGTGGTGGTGGGGGCAGGGTGGCATCCTCGCAGTCTCGTCACCGCCGTCGGCCCCTTCCTAGAGGCGCGTCCAAAAATTCTCGGACTGGAGTTTGTGCGTCGTCGGCGATATCCGTGACGTCACTCAATTCTAATTGGAGGGCCGATGCCAAGACCCCAGTTGTTATCGGTCAGGGAGCGCAGGTGGGCATTCTTCATCTTCCTCCTCCTTGTGCGAGTAACGAAGCAATAAAGGCAACAACGGAACCAGGGACCCCGATGGCCAAGATGACGCGCAAGGCTTCAACATCGCAAGCCACGCCTGGCGCGTGCTATTTATTTGAGTCGATTCACGGCGAGGAGGTTATCTTCCGTGGCTCTAACCTCCCAGGGCGCGCTTGGGAGGTGTGTGCGAGTGTGCCCCATGTTGAAAATGTACCCTGCGCGGCTGAACGGGTGCGAGGGATTACAAATGGTGGAAGCACGTTAATTTCACCGCCGTTGCAAAGCCGCTTAGAACGCTTGATTTGAGGAAAGTGGGCCGAAGATAATTCCTGGAGAAAACGCCGACCACCCCCTCCCCCCCGCCCCCCCCCCCCCCCCCCACCCCCCCACTTCATTAGAAACATCTCAAGAACCCTTTTACACCACCCAGGGTCAGTTATAGCTCAGAACTGGAGAAATCTGCTGAGAAGACTTTCGGTCAGCGGGGCTACAAAAGTCACCCGATTCGAAAAGCAATACAAAAAAAAGCCATAAACCAACCAACCACGGGGATGGGCAGTGGTGCCATCATACGTTGGCTGCTGCTCTTTTTAAGTGCCTTACATGCTTGCCAGGTCCCCTGCACGGCCCCCCGCAGCCGGCATTAGCGGATGAGCCGTAGCGGTAGGAGCGGGCCTGCTCTTATTCCGCCCACCGTGGCACCATTCCTGTGTAAAGAACCAGCCCTGTGCCGCGATTAAAGGGAGGTTTATTTTTTATTTGTTATTTTTAAATTACAGTATATTCACAATAAAAAATGGTATATTTATCCTCACGGGCTGCTGATGTAATACATAAAGCAACGTATTTGCAGCTAGTCCCATCGTGTGGGCGACACTAATGTGTTTTATGCCGATTCAGGCACATGGGCAGTAAGCCAGTAATGCAATGAATGTCCGGAGCTGTGTCATAAGCGTGGAGACCACAGCAAGCTGTTCCAACGGGATACGTAATACGTCGTGCCTGTAACAATGACTTGGGAAATGTTCGTGAACGCACTTAAGAGACCCGGGTGACCTTCGGCTGGTGTGAGGCCCCCGAATACCGAAGGTGGCGATTGACATTTTATCGTGCACGTTGCACAGCCCACACAGGTCACTCTCCCAACTGAGGGGGGAGGAGGAACACGCTTGGTGGTAATGACGACAGTATTACTACCGTGTCGGTTTTCCAGGCAGTTCTCTGTTACTCACCTGCAATGTATTTTTTTCTTCCGAGTTGTACCGCGCGGTGGCTTGACGTATCGATCGCTCACTCGCCCGCTCGCTCGGACGCCGCATTTGGGAAATTTCACTCGCTGGACAGCATTTTTTTTTAAGGGTAAGGGGGGGGGGGGGCAGCACTAAACACGCGAAGCGAAACGTCCAAACACCGTGCCGAACAACACCGGCGGGCCAAATCCGGGGAGCCTTTGACAGTGTTGCCACTGCGTTCGACGCGTATGTCACATATGCATCGTAGGCGCGCGGGGCGGTACCGGCTGGAGGCGATTGTGGGTGCCAGGTTTCTTGAAGACGTCCTCTGCTACGCCCGAGCATGTTGTAAATCTCCCCAATCGGGGCACTGAGCACCGGAAATTAAAAGCGGGAACAAGACCTAAAAAGACCTCGGTGTTCAACATGCGGAGAAGGGGCAAATGTGTGGGGGATAAAACACACCAGCCACGAGCCTTACTAAAAGCCCTAACTAGTTCAACCCCAACCAATCCGCTAATTGTGCTAGCCGTTACCCTAATCAACGAACCAACCGGTCATTAGTACTTCGCCCTATGCAACTCAAACCAAGGAGCAACTATCAACGTGCACCAACTTCCCCCAAACTAACGAGACCCGCACCTCCGATTAGCACGGTTTGGCTACGTACGTACGGTGCGAAATAAGTTCAACGCACGTACATAAGGCAACCGGCCGCTTGTACGAGCCCGAAGTCTCGCCAACTAACTAACCAACCACTAGTATGACCTCTCCCCGTGACTCCCTCTCAAAGTGTCATCTCCACCTCCAGTGCTTTACAACGCTAGGCCCCCCATTTTCACCGCTTTTCACTTCTGGTGTTGGTCGGTGCCTCACAGAAGGGCGAGGGGGTGTGGGGGGGGGCATAGGCATCGCGTCAAGTTGTGTTATGGTTCTCTCAAAGAGTTTTAAGAGTATTGTACATAATGATATTTTGTCTTAATTACCGTTCATGTGTACCATTCTTACGTAAGCCGCTCATGATTGCCCTATTTGTGTTCGTCTGTCCGTGTCGTCGGCGTTTTCATCTTTTTCCAATTGTGTAAATACGGTCGGCAGCGGACGCTCCTCATCAGTCTATTATCATTAATAACAGAACTCTGTAATTGTGTAGTTTGCGGGGCCGCTGCCGATTTTAGGCCTAAAATTATAAAAAAAATCCTATCGTTGCTTAATAAAAACAAAAAAATATCTCAAGGGAAATGACGGCGATCCGAGTGCGACATCTTCTTTTGCCAGTCTGCAAATGGTGCCACAACGCCTCGTGAAAATGTTGAAATTGGGCGAAGCGAAATCCTGATGTACACTCGCCCCACGTGGCTTGTCAAACCACTGCTGTACGCAGGCCTCTCCACGCTCTGGTCAGTCGTGGGGTTTTGCAGCTACAAGATGGGACCTTTTTGCCAGTATCAAAGTATGAAAACATATCAATAGGGTTTCGCCTTCATGGCAATAAAACAGGGGTAATGTTAAGATGTTCAAACCCACCAAATATAAGCCTTTTTGCAAGGAATCAAGGATTGCATCAACCACAGGTACTTGTTCACCACAAGTACGCGTGGTCAATGCAGACTTGATTCTTTGCAAAAAAAGGTTTCTATTTGGTTGGTGTTTGAACATTATAACACCTGCTCCTTTTCGATTTAAAGCTTTCGTGACTGCAAGGATTCATCTTCTTTGGTTCTTTCGGTAAAGTCACGTAGAATGAGAATAAAATAATAAAATAATAAAATAAAACAACGCAATAACATTCTCACGAAAAAAATTTTCACGACGCTTCGGCCAAAGAAGATGAATCCTCCAGACAGTCTCGTCCCTTCACCTGATGAAGGCCACTTGTGTTGTGGCCGAAACGTCGTGAGAATTTTATTGTGTTATTTTATTAATTTATTATTTTATTCTCATTCTACGTGACTTTACCGAAAGAACCAAAGAAGACGAACCTACTCTTATTTCTTTCATGGGGTTTTCTTTGGCCATACTTCACCACGCTGGTCAGCGCGGGTTGGTAAAAGGGGTGGCGGATCAAGGATCAGTTCTGGTGTAACTCGGCGCTTCCTTTGGCCGTGGCCAGGAATCCAACTCGGGTGGCCGGGATTCATCGCGAAGTGCCCAACCTCGCCCGGTGTTTCGAGAGAAAAGTTGCAAACAATTCAGTGACAACAAAAATCGCGCCACACTTTGCCCTGTTCTATGAAACGTTTTTTTTACATCCTGTACTTCAGCATTCCCGATAGAAATCACCGCCGTCACCTACAGTAATGCGTATACCGTAAACGATCGTGGACATCGTGTTGTCGTGCAAGAATAATCACATTCGTCTTTTAATAAACCTTGTAAGGGGCCGTCCATAAATGACGTCATGCACCTTGGGGGGGGAGGGGGGGTGTCAGACATTTGTGACGATGTGTGACGAGGGGGGGGGGGGGTTGAGAAATGTGACGTCACATCAAAATGCGCTACTTTAAATAAATATAGACAACACGTTCTACTTAATTAAATAGACTTTTTAATAAATGTTCTCTCCTACAACATCAGAGTGCAGCGCCATATTAAATACGCACTACAATGACAATAGTTTAAAGCGATTTGAAGCATGTTTTATATATTCTTTTGGGGGGGGCAGAGCTTTGACGTCATTTGAGGGGGGGGGGGTCTGAGTTTTTGTGACGTCGTGTGACGGGGGGCAAAAATCGTGTGACGTCATTTATGGACGGCCCCTAATACCAATCTCGTAAATAATAATCTACAGGGCGGTCCACGTGTTGTGCCACGCCCCCCCCCCCCAATTAATTGACCCCCAATTTTTTTCCTTCCCTTTGCACGTTAAGTTCTGCTTTAAATTAATCCTACTTTAAAATGAAGCTATACAAATTATCGAGCATTAAATGGGAGGCGTCACAAGCCATCTGGACCACCCTGAGGCAAATACCCCAACAGAGGCTGCGCCTTCTCCTACCTCTTGCGGATGATACAATTATTTCGGGTTATGCGACTTAAACCACCGATACGACATTGTCAAATAATTTCGATTTGAAGCTTTCGTGACTGCAAGGATTCATCTTCTTTGGTTCTTTCGGTAAAGTCACGTAGAATGAGAATAAAGCAATAAATTGATAAAATAAAATAACACAATAATATTCTCACGACGTTTCGGCCACAACACAAGCGGCCTTCATCATTCTACGTGACTTTACCGAAAGAACCAAAGAAGATTGTCAAATAACTTTAAAAGGACTTCTCAAAGAGTGCCGACACCACGAGTCGTCTGTGGCGTTGCCGCCAAAACTTTCGGCGTGGCCGCCCAGGAGCCAATGAGGCTGCAGAGAAATGGCGGGAAAAAAAACAATGGTGGCTCGAGACCAAAGCAATTCCCTCAGCAACCCCCTCATCGCCGTCTGTGATCTATACACTGCTGGACGAGGTCCTCCCCCCACGCCGTGTTATTTAATAAGGACGAGGTGTTACTGGTAGGAAACGTAGTGGACTGGAAGCCCAACCGGGATTAATTCTCACAGGAGGCAGGGGATTCATTGTGTATGTCTGTGGATGTCTGTCCACGTGTATCCGGACATTCGGATATTAAAAAAAAATGGGAGGGGTGGGGCTGGGCTGGGTGAAGAGGGGAGGGTGGGGAGGGGCTGGGTGGGGAGGGTGAGGGGTGGGGCTGGGTGGGGAGGGGCGGGTGGGGAGGGGCGGGTGGGGAGGGGCGGGTGGGGAGGGGCTGGGTGGGGAGGGGCTGGGTGGGGAGGGGCTGGGTGGGGAGGGGCTGGGTGGGGAGGGGCTGGGTGGGGAGGGGCTGGTGGTGGGAGTGTGGGGAGGGGAGGGTGAGGGGTGGGGCTGGGTGGAGAGGAGAGGGTGGGGAGGGGCTGGGTGGGGAGGGAGGGTGGGGAGGGGCTGGGTGGGGAGGGTGGGGAGGTGAGGGGTGGGGCTGGGTGGAGAGGGGCTGGGTGGGGACGGGAGGGTGGGGAGGGGCTGGGTGGGGAGGGGAGGGTGAGGGGTGGGGCTGGGTGGGGAGGGGCTGGGTGGGGAGGGGCTGGGTGGGGAGGGGCTGGTCACCCCGTGGTGCCCTTATAAAACTCAACGTTTAACCTACTCACGCCGGCTTGTGCCCGCCCTCACAGTCGGGCATATTGTGTGGAATACACCACGTGGTGGTGCCGTTGTTGACCCTGGCCATTGACCGAGCAACCCAACGTTCCTACCACCAGCTCCCTCCGCAGGAGTGTGTTTAATAGGGACGAGGTGTTTAAAATCCCTCGTCTGCTATGCAACAGGCTTGTGGGTTCGATCCCGACGCTTGCTGTAAATTTGGAGTTTGAAGGTCCATGTAGATTTTTTTCTCCGGGTCCTCGAGTCTTTTTTCTTCTTCCCCCCTCAACGTTTAGAATTTCCATCAGGCGCTTAAAGTACTGTATCTGGCTGCTGTAAATTTACACACGATGAGCTGTAAAGATTTGTGGCCAGGTCACTTCTGAAAACGAGCTGTAAAAGCTCAGTAGGGGGGGGGGGCCTTACCTGGTAAAATAAAAAGTTTAGTTTATAATGCGAAACCTGTCAGCCCCTTACGGTTTAGCCGTATTCTTGTGCAGGGAAATCGAATTATCAGGTCCATACGGCATACAGCCGTTTCAATACGGGCAACATTTTTTTTGTCTATTTGTTTGTGTTTCTCCCTTGTGATGAGACTTTGTAGTTTGAACGTTGAGATTTATAAAGGCACGGGGTGACCAGTAAGGTCTGAATGGGTCTAATAAGGTAGGCACTAATAAGGGGTTTATAAGTGTGTAACGCTGCGTTGGCAGTGATGCACACAACACAAAACTCCCACTCGTCAATAACTCGTGGCCTTAAAATGAAATATATATACAGTGAGGGAAAAAAGTATTTGATCCCCTGCTGATTTTGTACGTTTGCCCACTGACAAAGAAATGATCAGTCTATATTTTTAATGGTAGGTTTATTTGAACAGTGAGAGACAGAATAACAACAAAATCCAGAAAAACGCATGTCAAATAAATGTTATAAATTGATTTGCATTTTAATGAGGGAAATAAGTATTTTACCCCCTCTCAATCAGAAAGATTTCTGGCTCCCAGGTGTCTTTTATACAGGTAACGAGCTGAGATTAGGAGCACACTCTTAAAGGGAGTGCTCCTAATCTCAGCTTGTTACCTGTATAAAAGACACCTGTCCACAGAAGCAATCAATCAGATTCCAAATTCTCCACCATGGCCAAGACCAAGGAGCTCTCCAAAAATGTCAGGGACAAGATTGTAGACCTACATAAGGCTGGAATGGGATACAAGACCATTGCCAAGCAGCTTGGTGAGGTGACAACATACTCTTTGGTTTTTTCGGTAAAGTTTGTAGGTAAAATAAAATAAAACCTGTATATAATCCCGGTCGTCTCAAGAGCTCCCCACTTGGTACAGCTATTCTATTGACTGTTCCACCTGAAGATGGAAGCTTGTGGCCTCCGAAACGTCATGATTTAAGTTAGTTGTTTTTTTTATTTTATTTTACCTACGTGACTTTACCGAAAAAAACAAAGAGTATGAATCCTTGCAGTCACGAAAACTTCAAATCTAGAAAGTGACAACAGTTGGTGCGATTATTCGCAAATGGAAGAAACACAAAAGAACTGTCAATCTCCCTCAGCCTGGGGCTCCATGCAAGATCTCACCTTGGGGAGTTGCAATGATCATTAGAACAGTGAGGAATCAGCTCAGAACTACACGGGAGGATCTTGTCAATGATCTCAAGGCAGCTGGGACCATAGTCACCAAGAAAACAATTGGTAACACGCTACGCCGTGAAAGACTGAAATCCTGCAGCGCCCGCAAGGTCCCCCTGCTCAAGAAAGCACATATACATGCCCGTCTGAAGTTTGCCAATGAACATTTGAATGATTCAGAGGACAACTGGGTGAAAGTGTTGTGGTCAGATGAGACCAAAATGGAGCTCTTTGGCATCAACTCAATGCTGCCTATGACCCCAAGAACACCATCCCCACCGTCAAACATGGAGGTGGAAACATTATGCTTTGGGGGTGTTTTTCCAAGGGGACAGGACAACTTCACCGCATCAGAGGGATGATGGATGGGGCCATGTACCGTCAAATCTTGGGCGAGAACCTCCTTCCCTCAAGCCAGGGCATTGAAAATGTGTCGTGGATGGGTATTCCAGCATGACAATGACCCAAAACACACGGCCAAGGCAACAAAGGAGTGGCTCAAGAAGAAGCACATTAAGGTCCTGGAGTGGCCTAGCCAGTCTCCAGACCTTAATCCCATAGAAAATCTGTGGAGGGAAGCTGAAGGTTCGAGTTGCCAAACGTCAGCCTCGAAACCTTAATGACTTGGAGAAGATCTGCAAAGAGGAATGGGACAAAATCCCCTTCTGAGGTGTGTGCAAACCTGGTGGCCAACTACAAGAAACATCCGACCTCTGTGATTGCCAACAAGGGTTTTGCCACCAAGTACTAAGTCATGTTTTGCAGAGGGGTCAAATACTTATTTCCCTCATTAAAATGCAAATCAATTTATAACATTTTTGACATGCGTTTTTTTGGATATTCTGTATCTCACTATTCAAATAAGCCTACCATTAAAATTATAGACTGATCATTTCTTTGTCAGTGGGCAAACGTACAAAATCAGCTGGGGATCAAATACTCTTTTCCCTCCCTGTAGGTGACGGTGTGAGCAATGGCCCTTCATAGCACACTGGGCCACTGCCCAAAATATATTTTTCTTTTAAGGGCGCATTTATTGACGCACGTGGAGTTTATTTTTTATTTTTATTTGACCATACTTTACCACACTTGGCAGCGAAGGTTACAGGCGGGGAGCAATAGATGCGAGAACAAGTACAGCACAACAACGGAGGTTCCTAAGGCGACTTGTTATGTTTCGTTACAAACTCTGCAGCAACGGAAAATAAAATGGACGCATTTGAAATGGTGGCCATTTTGGTTTTGTTTTATTTCTTCAGATTAAGTGCGGTGGTGTACAAGTAATAATAATAATTCACAGTTGGGTGCTCACAACCAGCAGTCTACCTCCACCAACAAGATGCCTTCAATAGGACTTCACTGCTGTGCAAACTAGCACAACACAAGACCACAAACTTCACACACCAAGGGCGTCCCAAAGTCGGTAACACCTCTGAGACCCTGCTTCGGCAAGCTGCCATTAGGGGTTCCCCAGGCTATACAATCTGCACCGAGACCTTGGGGCCGACGGTTCTGACCACATTCCAACCTCCCAAAAAGGCACGCACCCACACCGGGTCATCGCATTAAGGCCACACTTTAAGTGCAAGTGTTACGAATAAAAAAGGTATTCAACGTCGGTGCACTTTTAGTATTCCAAACGACCGCGACAAACATTTTTTACCCACAGTAAAAACGCAGACACTTCATGTGTCGCGACTTCACAGGTGAAAATTCCTCGAGTCTTGCATAGGGTTGACGCCTGTCCTGGGTTTTCCCAAGGCCATCCTTCTCGAGGTGGTTACTGTCCTTGGGAACTCTATCAATCTTCCCGGGACATTGAAAGTCCCAGTGTTTTTTCACGTGTGCGTAATGCACTCCTTGAAAATGCATTTACAGCAAGACCTTGGATTGCGAGTAACTTGGTCTGCGAGTGTTTTGCAAGACGAGTAAATTTTTTAAAATAAATATTAATTTGATAAACGAGCGAGGTCTTGCAATACGAGTAGTACGTATACGCTGTCTGCCGAGCATCACGTGATCACAACTGATATACGAGTGCTTTGGATTGCAAACACGTTTCCGGAACGAATTATGCTCGCAATCCAAGGTTTTACTTGACATGCAGTTCCATCCTCAACTATTGTGAGAAATTATCAATCACGTTTCTCAGATTTTTGTCTCTCAGGAGATAGCGACCTCCCCCCCCCCACTCCCTCCCGAGCATTAAATTTGACCTTAACTAAGGCACTGCTGCACCCCTACCCCGACGAGGTTTGTAGGAGGCACACACGGACGGAAACTTTCGACGCATCTTGCTCACTGGAAGAAGTCCTGGGCTCCAGGACCCGGCTGGTTTCCACCCATGGGTGGGCCGATTGCTCGAGCCAGCTGCCTAGAGCTCAGCGAGTGGACAGACCGTGTGCGTGTGTGTCTCCCCCCACCCCCACCCAAAAACAGGTGAATTAGAAAAAGGCACAGTCCCAAGCGTGGGGGACCTCGCGAGAATAACTCATCTGTGGAAGTCGTCGTTACTGTTGAGCGAAGGACCGATAAAATCTCGGCCGTGTATCAACGTGTTCGTCTTCCAGAGTGGAGCACAGCTACATTGCATCGGGATTTTTACTATAAATTTCCTTCCCCCCCCCCCCCCCCCCCCCAAGTTTATCCTGAATGTGCTATCGGCATCGCGTCATGAGACTGAGAATCCATTCGGAGATCTCGCAGACCAGTGCAGAATTTTTTTTTTTAGAGAATTAACCCGTGGAAGCAGCTATCAGAGCCACCCTTTGAAATCACTTTCGAGTGACATTTGGTCCGAGCAATATGGGGGCAGCAATTCCCCACCTGCCTTGCTACGCAGGAGCAAAGGTCATCGCACGATAGTCAATACATTCTTAATTATTAGCCAGCTTATTCAAAACTGATGGTAACCTTTAGCCCCTTTGGTCTCAATTGTGCCCGTGTAAGGGTACCGACGTAATAGGCGACAGCTGCACCACAGCGCCACTCCGTGTTCGTAGTGAGCAACAGACATAGGCGTGCAAAACAAAACCGACATTAACGTCATACTACACAAGGTGTAACATCTTCAAATATTTCAATACTACCTCTTAATTGCCGTCATTGTTATTATTCCTACAAACATTGTCGCCGTTTACTCCTCACGCCACCCTCCACTGGTGGCGAGCCGCAGCACCACTGACAAGTCACCAACACTATCGCTACCCCCAAATACTATTGGTGGTGACAGCCTTGTAATGTTGGGAGGGAGGGTGGGGGGGAAATGGAGCCTTTGAAAGCTCAGCCCTGCTTAATTCTTAAAAGTCCAAAATTGTTGATACAAAACTAATACAAATATAAGCATGGGCATCGCAGTCTTTCCCGATATGCACTGGGGGGGAGGGGGTGCGGTTGAGCAGAAGGTGCGGTAGACACAAGCAGGATGGTATCCGTTCCTCACATCCTCTTTAGTGGTCGAGCCCATTTCACGTTGAATGTCGCACTCTCCCCCCACCCCCCCCCCCCCCCCCCCCCCCCCCCCCCCCCCCCCCCCCCCCCCCCCCATTGTGAGTTGGTGCATGTCCCCTCTTTAAAATCGACGTAACAGGGCTCATGGCGGGTGAGCAGAAGTGGCTGGCTGGCCGGCTGACCGGCCGGCCGAGCAAGCGAGTTGAGCGAGCGGCCGTCACTTGGGGTAGCTGTTGTCGTCGGGCGTGTCGCTGTGAATGAGCCGGTAGCCAGGCTGACGCCGGTACAGGCAGTAGTGCTGCACGATGAACAGCAAGTCAAAGAGCACGGAGAACAGGCCCAGGCCGAACTTGGTGAAGTCGCCGAAGATCAGAGTCCACTCGTCTGCGCGGGGGGGGGGGGAACCCGACGGAGAGATGTCGGAGGGGTTAGCCTGATCAACATATGGCTAAACAAAATCTGCGCATCGGCGACAGGTGGCTAGAGCTAAAAGGGCTTAGCCCCCCCCCCCCACTCGCCCTCAGAAGCTATTTTCCAGCTTGCATTATTCAAACACAGCACATCGTAGTAAAACCTCTGGAAGGTCGGACTCGGCCAGAGCTTCACACTCCAGTTTCGTTTAACCAGGTGAGAACTTTGCGGGACTAGGACGGCCTATTTTGCAAGGGTGACCTGGGTACCTGCAAAAGCGAGAGTGTACAGCCACCACGAACAGGGCACCTTGTAGACCCACGCATTTAGAGGTTTTTTTGTGCACAAGACTCGCTGCGCTTGAGAACCTAGGTTCATCACAGGCAGTGGCTGAAAAAGTGGACTCGAACCCAGGATCCCAGTGACTGCCAGTGCATTGCTCCGACCTCTGAGCCACCGCACCACATCTAGCGATAGATTCTTACGAAAACCGATTTGACGCACAAGTGTACGACTCATTTAACCGTTCTCTCTCGCCAAGACTGACCGGTCAGAATTTAATTCAAGATTTATTTTTTTTGCCATGTGTGCCCTCCATCTCATCTGTACCATCCGTCTCATTTGCACAATCTTGTTTGTACTATCTTGTCTCTCGTTTGTCTCATCTGTCTAATCTATTGTCTTGTGGTCTCATCTACAATTGTCTGTCTAGGGTGTACCGACTATAGCATCTGTACTGCGTCTTGTCTGCACTGTACTTCCTGACCTGTTGTGCCACATCTCGTCTACGAAGACAAAGGTCCCCCGTATAGCCTACTAGCTTTACTACCCGGCTTCGCCCGGGACTTGGATTCACCATGCCCGGCCGCCTTTGTCTCCCCCAGTGGCGATGTTCACACACCACAGCAGTTAGTCGTTTGAGGCCGAGTCGACCTAGGGAAGGCCCAGGACCGGTTCAAATAATCGTCACCGGTGGTGGGCGTGAGTGGGAATCGAACTCGGGTCGCCGGGTTCGTAGCGCGGCGCGCTAACCACTACACTACAATGCGTTACGCTTCCACATGCGAGGGTCACGTGACAGATTTGACGTCACAGCTCAATTGCCGTGCAAAAAATAAATGCATTATTGAGCTCCCCCCCCCCCCAAAAAAAAAGAAAACACAAAAGTCTATTTAAATAATTTTTGCATGGTGTACAGTCTGGAAAGTATCCACATGGCAAATTTCAAGTTTGTTGCATGTCGGGAAGTACGCTAAACATTTTTAACAGACACACATAATCACAACTTTGCCTTTTATATATATGGAGATTAACAGGCTGTAGGGGACAGTCCTGTTAGCAACCACGTATGAAGGCCGGCACTGCACACGAGCGGGTGGGTCGCCAGCACCACGCCTTGCCGCCTCTGTCGCCCGAATGGCCACGTTTACGCATCGCACCAGGTACTCAGTTGAGGCCAAGCCGACATAGGGGAGGCCCAGGACCGGTTAATTGAAATCATTACCGGTGTTGGTGGCCGTGAGCGGGAAGTAGATATCAGTGATATACTCCACTGCTCCCAAAGCGGTTATGTGGCTAGACCACCTGAATGTTAAATTGTAGTCGTTGCTCTGCGCTACGTCAGCCATACGACAAGAACCGGGAATCGAACGCGGGTAGCCGGGTTCCGCGCGTGGCATGCACTAACCGCTGCACCACCACTCCCCTCCTATCTCGTCTACAATGCCACTACCCGCCATTCGCCACTAAGCGACGGTGACGTCACGGCGCGTGTGCCAGGCCAGGTGCACTTTGAGGCCACGTGAAGTGTCGAAGGCTCGCTGACAGAGGTCTTGGGACAGACCCAGGTGCCATGGGTTGGCCGACTGAGATCACCGGTAGATGCACCAGCTGTGCCAACTAGCTGTTTTTAGCCGTCCGGCGCTTCGCTCATTGTTGTGAGCAGCTCCTCTGCCCTCCGTCTACAAAAAGTTAAAGCTCTCCCCTATAGCCTTAACAGACTGTTGGGGCAAGTGCTGTTAGCGAGCACCTATAAAGGCCGGCACGGCACACGAGAGGGTGGGTGGCCAACACCATGCCAGGCCCGCCTATGTCTCCCCAGCGGCGATGCTTATACACTGAACCAGGCACTCACTTGAGGCCGAGTCGACCTAGGGGAGCCCCAGGACTGGTTAACATAATCGTCACTGCTGTTGGCCGTGAGCAGGAATCGAACGCGGGTCGCCGGGTTCATACCGCAGCGCGTCAACCGCGACACAGTCTCGCACACGCAGTGTGCTTCCGCCCACCGTTGTTGTAGGACCTGATGAACATCTGCGCGAGGCTGAGCGTGCCGCCCGTCAGATCGAGCAGCACGTTGCCGATGCTCCAGCCCTCCGTGCTCTTGCGCTGGTAGTTCATGTACGCCTGTGGGTCCCCAGCACAGACCGGGACGACACGCGCGCACACGCTCACGCGACGCATCTGGGGCCGCAGTTTATAGCAGCCAAATGTATGTGTTGAACTTCTTGTGCACCGTACAAAGCCAACCGTGCTAATCGGAGGTGCAAATACTCGGAACGCACGTTGACCAGAGGGCCCAGAGAAAAATCCACACGACCCAGAGAGAACATGCAAACACCAGATATACAGCAGGCGTCAGGGTCGGGATCAAATCCACGACCTCGTGTATACCACGTGAGGGGGGTTAACATCTTCTTTGGTTCTTTCGGTAAAGTCACGTAGAATGAGAATAAAATAATAAAATAACACAATAAAATTCTCACGACGTTTCGGCCACAACACAAGTGGCCTTCTTCAGGTGAAAGGAACAAACCTGTCGGGACAACAGGTTTGTTCGGGACGACAGGTTTGTTCCTTTCACCTGAAGGCCACTTGTGTTGTGGCCGAAACGTCGTGATAATTTGTGTTATTTTATTTTATTATTTTATTCTCATTCTACGTGACTTTACCGAAAGAACCAAAGATGAATCCTTGCAGTCACGAAAGCTTTAAATCGGGGGTTAACATCTCGCCGCCTTGGAGGCGACGGGCCAGGCGGGCGGGCTCGCACCTGGGGCATGTACTTGACGAGCGTGATGACGAGCTTGATGTAGGAGAAGCCGTTGAGGAACTGCAGCCAGGAGACGGCGTGCACGGCCGCCGAGATGAGGTAGGCGAGCGCGAAGAGCCACGCGGCGGCCTGCAGCACCCAGGCTGGCACCGACACGTGCTGGCCTCCACGCTGCCCACACCCGCCACCACCGAGGGCAAAACAACAACAACAACACAGACAGAAAAACAACGAGGTGGCGGCTGTTAAAACAAATAAAGACTGCTGGAGCAACTGCTGTTCATGTAAACTTACAATATACAGCAGGCGTGGCCAACTTTTAACAGACCAAGAGCCAAAAAGTACCCCAGGAGTTCTGCAAAGAGCCAAGTGTATATACAAGTGTGCGTATATTGACAGTTTTCGGCGCAGGACAGGAGACATTCATTATTCAATGAGACTCTGATAGCGCATTCCACATTATGTCCCTTCGATAGAGCCGCACGTGGTGGATTAAAGAAAGCCTCACGTGGTGGATTAAAGAAACGCACGTGGCTCCGGTGATGACAGATGGCCACCACTCGTGTACAGTATTTCACTCGTTATTCACGAATTTGCGATCTGCGATTTTGCTAAAAAAAAACGCAGATCGCATCTGGAACTCTACACGACTGCATCGAGAGAGGGCGATGAGATCCTTGCTGCATCCTACTGTGCAGCATCATAAGTTAAGTAAATTAATTATGTACGATGCGAAAGGTCAACATGCATACACTATTATTTAACACTTTAATATACACTTTTAGTTACTTTGTGTTTCATTATCACCAATGTAATGTTTGTGTTATGATATTCGATAGCTTATTTAGGTATTTATTTAAGCCAATTCATTTCCGTACAGCCAATATCATTATCCGCGAAATTCGCCATTCAAAAGCATCTCCGGAACGTATCGCTCGTGGCGAATAACGGGGGAATGCCGTACACGTTGCCACCGACTGGTTCCAAATGCCGCAAGCCAGGGTGCTCGCCCACGCACGTCGCTCGCAACATTTCTCAAAACCTCCGGTCAGCCTCGCAGCAGCGGCTTTTGGCTGGACATTGAACAAAGGCGGTCACCGCATCGCGCGCATTCGGATGCGCTTCCGTGGCCGTCTGGAACGCTCTTCCTTCCGATATTAGGAAGTCACCGGAGCTTTGCACTTTTAAATCATCTATCATCTATAATTTCTTTAAAACTGCTTTTTGTGTTTTAGTTTGTTGTCCTTCCCCCGCAACTCCGATTAGCATGGTTGGCTACGTACGGTGCGAAAGAAGTTCAACATACCTACACTGCACAATACACTCCTCTATACGCTGCATTACTATACACTACACTTACACCACTATACTAAATTGAAAATAAATTTCTTTAGAACAGTTTTTTTGTGTTTAGTTTGTTGTCCATTGCCAAGGCACCTCCAATTATCACGGTTGGCTACGTACGGCGTGAAAGAAGTTCAACACACACACACACACGTACACACGAATCTCCCGAGGAGTATTACGCCAACGACCCTGACCTCGTAGATGACGCACTGCGTGATGACAACGAGGCACGCGAAGATGGCATGGAGACTGAACCCCGCGTCATTGAGGCTCACGGGGTTCACTCCGTCCGGGTACTGCACCAGGTACTCCTCCTGAACGGACACGAGAAAAATCAACCCCCCACCCCGCCACCGCCGAGCGTCCAGCGTGGAACCCTGCTGACGCTTGTCCAAAGGGCGTTGGTCTGCCCTGCCCTCCGTCACGTCTGTCGGCGATTATAAACAGCGCAGCGATGTGCGTTGCACGTGCCACCAGCAACCCCCCCCCCCCTCCAGTGTGTGACGTGCGACGTCCTGGTCAACAAGGATAAGCACCCTCGAGGAAAACGGCCCTAACAGCAGTGTGACTTCATAATAAAAACTTCATTAAAACAAAGTCACGCTGCTATAACTGCAATAATGTTACACTCATATCGGATCAACTTTAAGATAGTTCTCGTGGTCGCCCCCTCCCCCATCCATGTTATAGATGGACAAAGCTAAACGCATTTATGCTTTCAACCACTCTTTACACGTCTCTTTAAGTTACATCTGCACTTGAATGATGATCAGCCTAAAAACAGGTCTGCTGGAGTCTATGTACGCATTTGTTACTGAACATCGATTTATGCTTCTGAAATGTTTTTTTTAATTTGTCATCGGACAAGTTGTTCGCTTCCCAGCTGTACCGTGTTTTATTTGTTTTGCATGCGTCATCTTGGTGACCCGGCTCATCACCCTTGCAAATGAGACTCATCCCAATCTCTCGAGTTCTCACTTAGTTAAAACAATAAATCAACTCGACTCTTAACACCCTTACGCCAATTAATCATCTCAATAAAATGTACCCACCCACCACCTTAAATCACCCACCATTTCACGAACTCCCTCACCCCCCCCGTCACTCGTTCCTGCAAATTAAAACTCATCCCGGTCTCCTCGATTTAAACAAAACGTCTGCTTGAAAACTTGAGTGTCAACCCCTTATCACAGACCAATTCAGACCTTATTGCTCACCCCGTGCCCTTACAAATAAAAAGTCCCATCACAAGGGAGAAACAAACAAAGACATTTTGTTGGTCCCGTATTGAAACGGCTGTACGCCGTATGGACCTGGAAACTCTTTCCCTGTACAAGAATACGGGGGGGGTAAACTGTATGGGTTGACAGCGATGAAAGCGTTGAAGAATACAAAGCAAACAACCGACACCGCCATTCCCACCCCTCCCCTACCACCACTTCCTACACAGACTGCTAGGGCGAGCAGCCGTGAGCGAGCACCTACGAAGGCCGGCACGACACACGCAAGCGGCCAGCGCGAGTCACCTTGACAGTGGGAATCCACAGCATGCCGATGTTGAAGAGGCTGTACGCCACGAAGCCCGTGAGATTCAGTGCCAGGAAGTCAAAGTTGAGTCCAACGACGCTGCAAAGACAAAGATCCCCCAGTATAGCCTTTACAGACTGTCGGGTCAAGTGCCGTGAAGAGAGCACCTATCAAGGCCGGAACGGCACATGAGGGTTGGGTGGCCAGCACCACACCCGACCGCCTTTGTCTCCTAAGTGGCAATGTTTTTACAAATTGCACTAGGTACCCAATTGAGGCCGAGTCGACCTAGGGGAGGCCCAGGACCGGTTCAGAAACTTGCCACTGGTGTTGGCCATGAACGAGAATCGAACTAACCACTACCACTACACTACCGCTCCACACAAAACGCACGGGGGGAAAACGGCGGTCTTACAACTTGCAAGGTCATGCACTCGCAACGGCAGTTAAACTCATAAAGACAAAGATCCCCCCTTATAGCCTTAACAGACTGTTAGAGAGTACCTACGAAGGCCGGCATGGCACACGAGGGAGTGGGTGGCCAACACCACCCCCGGCCGCTTTTGTCTCCCCAGTGGGGATGTTTACACACCACACCAGTTACTCATGATGCCGAGTCGACCTAGGGGAGGCCCAGGACCCATTCGGATAATCGTCACCGGTGTTGGCCGTGAGCGGGAAGGAGAAGAAGAGAGGGAATCGAAACTCGAGTCGCGAGGTTCGTAGCGCGGTGTGCTTACCGCAGCACCACCACTCCCTCCTATCTCGTCTACACCACAAGTCCGGTTTGCCAGATTCATAGCGCAGCGTGTCAACCGCTGTTCCACACACTCCCCCGCTCGTAGCGACATGGGGGTCACACGCAAGGGCGAATTCAACAACAACAACACACGGACAGCACGAGCAACGGGGACGCCCGCAATGGCGCAAGTAAAACAAAAACACAACTCGCACCGGCGGACGACACCGTGCTCACGACGTCGCGCTTACGACACCGCGCTCACGATGCCGTGCCCACACACCTCTTGCGCCGGTAATTCTCCAGGATCTGTGGGTAGAAGGAGATGGACCACGCCACGAAGTAGAGCCAGCCAATCACAACGTCAAGGAGGCGCAGAGCCTCACTGCGGATCACCTGGAAGCGAATCCGCACGGCGTCCACCCTGCACGGAGATAGACCGGGGGGGGGGGCAGCACTGACCTCGGTGTGACCTCCAATGCCTGATCACACGACGACAAACAACCCCGACTCCAGCGGCGTGCGTGCACAACACCCCCCGCCGCCGCCGCTGCCGCGGCTCGCGAGCCTAGAAACTTGTAGGGAAGCGGACCTGGCGATCTGGGAGGAGTTGCCATGGAGATGAGTGGTGACCTGACCCACGGCGACGGCCTTCACGAGGAACGGCACCAGCCGCGAGTGTGCAGGCAACATCACCTGCGGAAGGGAGAGACACGGGGCGGAGAGTGCGAGCGAGCGTGAGAAAGTGTGGCATTGTGAGAGTGAAAGTGTGCAAGGGTGATTGTGTCAAATAATATATGGGAGAGTGTTTGAGAGACCGTCTCAATGTGTGCGAGTGAAAGATTACGTGAGCGCGAGTGTGACAGCCAGTGTACAACCGTGTGGGCAGCTGTAGTGTAGTGGTTAGCGTGCTGCTCACGGCCCACACCAGTGACGAATTTGGCTGGGCGTGGGTGCTGGCCACCCAACCCCTCGTGTGCCATGCCGGCCTTCATAGGTGCTCACTAACAGCATCTTCCTCAACAGTCTGTCGAGGCTATATAGGGGATCTTTTGCATGGATGCATGCAAGCATGGTGAGCTTGTGTGTCAGCGTGGATGCGTGTGGGCGAGCGTGTGGGCGAGCGTGTGGGCGAGCGTGTGGGCGAGCGCGTGGGCGAGCGCGTGGGCGAGCGCGTGGGCGAGCGCGTGGGCGAGCGCGTGGGCGAGCGCGTGGGCGAGCGCGTGGGCGAGCGCGTGGGCGAGCGCGTGGGCGAGCGCGTGGGCGAGCGCGTGGGCGAGCGCGTGGGCGAGCGCGTGGGAGAGCGCGTGGGAGAGCGCGTGGGAGAGCGCGTGGGAGAGCGCGTGGGAGAGCGCGTGGGAGAGCGCGTGGGAGAGCGCGTGGGAGAGCGCGTGGGAGAGCGCGTGGGCGAGCGCGTGGGCGAGCGCACTGACGCTGTCAGGCAGCTCCACAATGGTCACGTTCTCAGAGTGCTGCGTGATGTTGAACGTGAGAACCACACTTCTCGCGAGTGCTCCACTGCTCACACAAACAACACAAATATGATATTAACAGGAGTGAAATTTGAAAACGCGAACGATATCTCGCCGACTTAAATGACCGTGACTCGGAGGCGAACAGCATCGGCACACGCATCACACGACAACGCATCACACACCACTCGCGTCATCAACAGACATGACACGACAACGGACGCACACATCACACAACAAAGCTTACACACATCATCAACACACACGGTTTACCCGCATTCTTGTACAGGGAAATTGAGTTTTCAAGTCCATACGGCACACAGCCGTTCCAATACGGACAAAAAAAATGTTTGTCCATTTGTTTGTATTTCTCCCTTGTGATGGGACTTTGTAGGACTAACGTTGAGATTTTTAAGGACACGGTGTGACCAATAAGGTGTGAATTGGTACTGTAATAAGGTAGGGCACTGATAAGGGGTTGACAGGTATGCATCATCAATGCACATCACCCATCACGCATACAGGGTGCCAGCGTCGACCTCCTTTATTTGGGGGGTGCACACCTAAGTTTGGGGGGCGGTGGCGCTCACCTCAGTGTCAGGGTCACGTTCAAGGAGCTTCCGTTGGTCAGGACGACCTCCTCGGGGGCGCTGACAGTCACAGTGGCTGGGCAGGAGAGTTAAGTGAACACGGTCGATCAAGGTCAACATCTCTCCGGTACCACCATCACCGACATGACAATCAACACCGACATCGCCATCAATCACCCTTAAAAACACACACAACTGTAACCACACTCTGTAACTGTAACCACCATTACAAACATCGCCAACAGGAAAAATCATCACCGGTAACCACGAGCTCGTTAAAAGTAATCATGAGCATTCATAATACACGTTTTTGGGTTAGATCGCGTTATTTATAAATGTGTCGTAACCCTACACCACCCGACACGGCCAATAAATAAAAAACATTCTGGAAAATTGCCCGATGATGCTGGATGTAATTACCAGCGAAACGCCGTACTCAAATTTGTTTAATGTTGTGGATTCACTCTTCAACACACAGGTGGGCTAAAGTAGTGAACTATTTTGTCTTTTATCAACGTGACACTTTTTTACAGATTGGCCGTGTCGGGTGGTGGAGGGTTACGACACATTTATAAATAACGCGATCTGACCCAAAAACGTTCATCATGAATAAAATATTGGTCGCCGAAAGCCTACGTGTTAAATCATGAGCATGTAATCATTACCATCATCAACACCTGCATGCCCATCGCCTTCATCCGTAGAACTTCCACCACAACTATCAATCAACACCACCTCCATCACCACCATCAAGATCATCACCGCCTCCATCACCATTCGCTATAATCACCAGCACCACCACCCAGTGTTGTACTCACCGGCTGCATACTCCGCAGTCCCCAGCACCATCAGCGTAGTAAACCAGAGCATGGCCATCGTCTGTGACACAGACATCACTGAGAATAAGCCATCACACGCCAACTCCCGGTCCATCCTCGCAGCGGCTTCTGGCTGGCCATCGAACAATGAGAGTCGTGGTCACCCCATCGCGTGGCGCTTTCAGATGCGCTTCTGCGGCCGTCTGGAACGCTCTCCCTCCAGATATTAAGAAGCCACTGGGAGAGATTGCACTTTCAAATCATCATCTAGATTGGCAAACTCATTTCTTGAGAATGTTTTTTTTTCTTTAAAAGTTGAGCTTGTTGTCCTTCACCCGCACCTCCGATTAGCACGGTTGGCTACGTACGGTGCGAAACAAGTTCTATAAACAGTGTCGTACATTACCACCACTCCCATCACCACCACCACCGTCGCCGCTTAAACACTCTGGCAGTGTGGTGGTGGTGGACGAACAGTGCTCCGTTCTCTCCCACCCCGACCCCCCTCGTGGCGATGATGATGATGACGGGGCTCTACCCCCTCACCCGGATTTGAACTTGACCCCTTCAAATCGGGACGGGATCGATCGCTTTTCGCCTCAACGACACTGCCGATCGCGGCGTGACAAATAGCCACGATGATGATTTCAGGGTCCCCGTTTACCGGTACAACATTACCCATCACCGTCGCCATCGGCCTGACACGTTTACTAAATAAACAACAACAACAACTTGCATCGCAAGACAGTAACACGGCAACACCGTGGGCGCGAAACAACAACGTCGAACAACGTCGATTACCGCGAAGGTAATGACGTCCGCCAAGGGAAGAACAACAACAACAACAACGTCGACTCTTGACGCTGCAACGACGGCACCATTGTAAACAACGACACCAATAACAACAACAACAAACAAACATACAGCCACACGAGGCAACCACCATGGCAGTGGAGCTACAGGGCTCAGAGCGAGCGGCTCTCGAAATGTGAAGGATTGAGAGTTGGGGAAAAATAAATACCCTGGTCGACTCGGCCCATCATCGCTCCCTCTCGGGGTCGATAAAATAAGAACCGCTTTGTTCTGTAAGCGGAGGGAGGGAGCGGGGAGTAAAAATTTGGTTGTGCTACGGACAGACTTGCTCCCGCCATACGAACGGGCAATTTCCACCACTGGGCTTTGCCGAGGGGAAGAATGCCGCCACAGGAACGAACTTCTAAAACGACGCTTCAAAAACGACAACCACCACACGGCACCGACAAATACCCGCGGACACCACAGCCACAGTACCACCGATGATGCGGCGACCGCCAGGGTGCCCAGGAACCACGGCCTCACTCGAGTCCCCAGGGACCCCTTCCCCACGGCCTTCCCCTCCAGCGGTGGAGAGCACCAGACCCGTGAGAGGCGTCCACGCGCACCGTTGCGTTAAGTCCGAGCCGGGGGGGTGGTGGTGGTGAGGCGGCAGCGGCAGCACCAAGCAGCAATTCACTACAGCGGAGCCGGAACCAAAAAAGTTCCCCGCGGGGACCCTTTTAAAGGTAGCGCGCGCGTCACGAGATCCCATCACGTGAAGAGGGCTTAAGGCGAACGTCACTTCCGTTAATAGCCCCCCCCACCCACCGCCTTTACACGCGCGACCACGCCCCGTTGTTTTCAAGACCCGCCTCCTGTATACAAGCCCCGCACCTTTATTTATTAGCCCCGCCTCCAGAACGCCAAGATTTGCACTTTGTTTATAAGCCCCACCCCCAGCGTACAAGCCCCGCCCCTTCTTTACAAGCCCCGCAAACCAGTATAAAGCCCCGCCTCTTGTGTGTAAGCCCCGCCCTCAGTCTACAAGCCCCGCCCGTTGTTCATAAGTCCTGCCCCTTGTTATAAACCACGCCCCTAGTACACATGCCACGCCCCGTTGTTTATAAACCACGCCCTTCATCATTAGACCTCCTTTGCCAGTACCAAAATATAATAATAGAGTGTTTTCCCTTTTTTTCTGGCAACAAAACTGAAACCTTTTTACAAGGATTCATGTTACTGCATTCACCACAATACCTGCAGTCAAATGCAAACAAAAAAACATACTATGATAATATATGCATTGTCCTTGAAACTGATTGGTCCACACCAAGGGACGGCTTTCTTTTGAGCCTCGACTCAATTGGTGCTCGACCAGATGACGTCAAAAGGCGTCACACAGCTCAAAGACAATGCCACTATCAAAGTAATGAGGGCTCGGGATGAACATCTACATCATTACCAGTACAAAAATGTAATAATAGGGTTTTTCCCTATTAATAGGGTTTTTCCCTATTATTACATTTTGGTACTGGCAAAGAAAGTCTAATGATGTAGATGCTCACCCCGAGCCCTCATTACTTTGATATTGCATTGTCTTTGAGCTGTGTACGCCTTTTGGCGTCATCTGGTCGAGCACCAATTGGGTCGAGGCTCAAAAGAAAGCCGTCCCTTGGTGTGGACCAATCAGTTTCAAGGACAATGCATATATTATCATAGTATGTTTTTTGTTTGCATTTTGACTGCAGCTATTGCGGTTAATGCAGACATGAATCCTTGTAAAAAGGTTTCAGTTTTGTTGCCAGAAAAAAGGGGAAAACCCTATTATTATTATTATTAAAACCACGCCCTTGTTATAATCTCCGCCTCTTGATATAAGCCCCGCCCCCCCAGTTTTCAGGTCCCGCCCTTTGTTTATAAGCCCCGCCTTTGTAACCCATCCCATTGCAAGCCCCTGAGTCCAGTCTCACCTGGTCCATGAGCCCGTGGGTTCGACCCCGGACCCAGACGATGCCTGTTGTAGTAGATGTAGTAAACCTGTAGTCAGCGTGCTCTCTCTCTCTCTCTCTCCCCGTGGTGGTGGTGGTGACGTGGATTGTTCTCTCGTTTTGCCTCCACCGCTCCCCATTGAGATTTAACAGTGCGTTTAGATTCGTTCGCTGATGCTTTAAATCCCCACGTGTTGGTGCTGATGATATCTGCCCACTGCGATGACGAGCTTATCATCACGTTTTGGACACTACACCTGCAAATGAAACAGCTCATAGACACTTCTACACTCCATCATTGTATCCTTTTAAACCCTATCTTTGTCCTATTACTTCACCAGCACTTCTTCCAAACTTCATTCTGCTCTTAAAAATAACACCATCTGCGAGCTGCTGCTATTCGTCCAAGGTTCGCCGCTCTTCATCCTTTCACAGAAAATACTTATGCAAACTGTTAATTCTACTTTTCCTATTTCTGGGTGGTATTGAGCTTCATCCTGGCCCAAATGAAAAGAGCTCGTACAATTCTGTAGATTTTTCTGGCAGGAAAGGTGTTGGTGTTCCACATGTCAACATCAGAGGGCTTGTGATTAAATTAAGTCAACTAAAACTAGAAGTGGCAAATCTTGACCCGGGCATTTTTTTGCCTAACAGAAACATTTCTCACTCCTGCTGTCAATGACTTGCAGATTACGATTGAAAACTACAACCTTTTTCGGCTTGACCGAGGATCTAAAGGAGGTGGAATTGCCATCTATGTTCGTAACACTATTGCATGTTCACCAGCTCACTCCTTGTTTAAAAAATGTTGCTTTGAAGGTCTGGCTCTCAGAATAACTCTCCCAAATAATCAACAGATATTGGTAGTGTGCTGCTATAGACCGCCTTGTGGGAAGGATGTTGAAGCTGCATCGGCACTGAGAGAGCTTTTTGGGGGTCTCCCTAAAGGTGAAATAATTTTAGTGGGTGATCTAAATTGGAATTGGCTAAACCCGCCGGCCGTGGCCACAAATTTTACAGATGAATTTAACGTGTTTCAATTAATAAATGTCCCCACAAGACCCAACCTAAAACATCCGGGACAGTCAACTCTGCTTGACGTCCTATTGACAAATGCCCCTCACAATTTCGCACTGACTGGTGTTCTGGGTAATAACCTTAGTGATCACTCCTTCATTTTTGGTGTGAGATCATCAGCCAGACCCAAAGCCCCCCCTAAAATTGTTGAGAAGCACTCTTTGAGGCACTTCAGCACTCAGGCATTTACAAATGATGTGCTTCACTCGGATATTGATAAGGTCTGTGATATCCCCAACCTGACTACGGCTTGGGAGACTTTCAGGTACACGTTTCTCCAAATTCTTAACAAACATGCTCAGTTGGTTAGATTTAAAACTAAAGGCAACCGCCCACCATTGTATGATCCTTTGATTACAAAGCTCATAAAAACTAGGGACAAGGCTTGGGCATGTGCTCAGAAAAGTAATTTGGTAAATGACTGGCTAGAATTATAGGATTTTAAGGGATAGATGCGTAAAAAAAATACGGCATGCAAAAAATGCCTATTTTTCCTCCACTCTCCTGGAATCACATGGAAATGCCAGGATTTTTTGGAAAACAATCAAATCTATCGAAAAGGCATCCAAAACAGAAAATCTGCCTGTTGAGCTTCACCGAAATGGGGAATATTTTTCAGATCCCAAAAAAATTGTTGACAATTTTAACATTCATTTTTCTGAAGCTGGTAATCTTTTTGATAATGTATTGGGAGTCACCCCTGCTCCTGCAAATTCCTACACCCCTGTCCAAACATTAAACGAATTTAGTTTCCAACCAATCCACGAAAGTAATTTTCTGAAACAACTGTCCTACCTCAAAGGGTCCTCCTCTACCGGAGCAGATAGTTTTCCCGTCTTTGCTCTACTAACTGTTGGTCACCTAATATACAAACCTATAGCCCATATTTTCAACCTGTCCATCAAAGAAGCATCAGTTCCTCTAGAATGGAAACATTCCTATGTCTTGATTTAAAGCTTTCGTGACTGCAGTAATTCATATTCTTAGTTTTTTCGGTAAAGTCACGTTGAAGAGAAACAACAAAATAATAAAATATATATAAAACAATAAAAAATTCTCACGACGTTTCGACCATAACTCAAACGGTCGTCTTCAGGTGTGTTGGTTCGCATACATTTATTTTTAAACGGCGCATTTATTTATTTAAAAAAAAACGTTAGCGCCACGCGCAACGATTTGGCAGTTTACCCAGGACTAGTCCATCTATATTCTGAAAAGAGGAGGGGGGAGACGAAATTTTTTATAATGTATGCTGTCTGAAAGCCACTGTAAGCGTGAACAATCAATTAAGACCTGAAATGGTTTATCAAATCTTTCCAATGATTGCTAAGATAGAATCCATCTTCTCGGTTGAAATTGTCTCTGTGCTTGTATATGTGGATAGCCTCATGAACGAATCTCTCATGGAAGCCAGATGGCTTACAAAGAACCTCTGTCTTGGAAAAGTCAATGGCATGTGAGCCTACTGAATTAGAACAATGATCTGTCACGGCCGAGGTGTTGGTCCTACCGTGTTTAAGGTCTGCTTTCTGTTCACGAATGCGGTCCGAGACATGGCGTTTGGTTTCTCCAATGTAACTACTACCACAGAGGCAACTTAGTTTGTAGACACCAGGGTATTGTATGTCCGGAATCACATCTTTTACAGACGGAACCAGATCACGGATTTTATGTAATGTGTTGAAACGGACCTGGATCTTGTGTTTATTCAAGATTTTGGAGATCTTTTTTGTGATCCCAGCAATGTAGGGTAAAGTGATGGTTTTGAAAGGCTCCTCAAGAGGGTTCTTCTTCATGGTTTGAGTGATAGCTTTGCGGATTGTATAGTCGGAGTAACCATTAGCCCTAAGAGCTTGGTGTACGTGCTTGAGTTCACTGCTTATGTGTTCCTGGTCGGATATGCATTGGGCTCTATGATACAGAGTCTTGATGAGAGAATTCTTCTGTGATGGATGGTGGGATCTCTTTTTATTTTTGTATAACTACCATCGTCGAGTAATTCTTTCATTTTGTTGTTGTATTCTATTGGTAGTTACACAAAAATAAAAAGAGATCTCACCAACAGCCTCGTCACACAAACCAACAAAATAATTTCTGATTCAACCGCATTAATTGATCAATCTAAACAGTTTTCGTTGAAACCTTCTGCTGCCAGGCCACCAAGATTATACGGCTTACCAAAAATACATAAAGTAGATACACCCCTTCGTCCCATAGTCTCTACTATCGGCTCCCCCACCTACAAACTAGCTCGTTTTTTGTCTGAAATCCTGCGTCCTTTCACTGGAAAGACCACCTCTGCGGTACAAAATTCTACTCACCTGGTATCGACAATCAAGGGTATTTCCCTGTCCCCAGACGACCTGCTTGTCAGTTTTGATGTAGTTTCCTTATTCACCAAGGTTCCTGTACCTGACACCATTGCAATCATTGAAGACTTAGTTCATCAAGGACTAAACACTGAGGTACCCCCCCTGGTGAGACACTGTTTAACCAATACATACTTCACTTGGAATGGAACTTTCTACAAACAAACTGAGGGCACCCCAATGGGCTCCCCCCCTTTCTCCAGTTATAGCTAACATTTTCATGGAGAAATTTGAGACTGACGCCATCCAGACTGCCACTCTGCGCCCACATGGCCGGCCTGCTCTAGACCAATTCTTCGACCACATCAATTCCATACACCCAGCCATCAGATTTACCATGGAAGTCGAAATA